TGAGAGACATGGCCGTGGTTCTGCCGCGTACATTGTTGTGTATGGTGATGGATGCTGCATGGCGGGATGGGGCCCTGGCAACAAGGCTACACGTGAGGCTACACTACACATATGCCGCTCACGCACCTGACAGTCCCCACCTCTACCAATGGCTACGCATCGTGGTGCGAAACTTTCGGGCATATGTATCTTGTCCACTGCAGGGGCGATTATCGCAATCCCGCGACAAGTCGTGCGTCCGCCCTCACGGCACCTACTACCGCCACTGTTCCATAGTCTTCTCTGTAAGGGACGTGGGTTTGTCATCGTCCTCGTCCTCGTCATCGTCATTTTGCCATCTTGTACCCTCCTCGCCTCTGCGTGTAAGCGGCAGCAGGACGGTGCACCGTTGCAGGAGCATGGGCTGAGCACACCCGTCACGCTCCACGCGAGTCTCTATTTTCGGGTCCTCCATGGGCTCTCAAGCCACACTCCTCTGAGGAACCGATGCAAAGACCGAGGCGGGAACGGTCCGTAGCCTGGCCACCACCACCCACCATCCACCCACCCCAGTCATGTCCCAATTATGGCGCGCGGACGCTCTCTCGCCCAATGTTCATGACGGAACCGTTCGATGGCAAGCCCGCAGCCATGCCCGCGGGCTCAGGCGCATGGTTTTGCTACGGGCCTGGCCAATGCACTACCTCTGGTGGATCCCCTGTCAAGCCTCATACCTACCTGTTGTGCATGCGTGCTTGCAGCGTCTATCTGTCCATCGCTCTCTCAGAACCCCTGCCTCGAGTAGGCTCCTCGTTCGGGGTTGGCTCAGGCACAGCCCGCAGATATTTACAGTCTTCTCCATAAACTCACCTGGGCGCAGCCTTTCCTTCACCACAATTGTCACAAATGCCTTGATTTGGAACGGCCATCTGTCCCATTCAGGCCTTGTACACACCACGTTAAATTACCACCCCTGGCAAGTGTTTCTTAATTCAACCCTCATACTTCCGAGTGCCTATCATTGTCCTGGGGGAGCTTGGCCGACACGCCCAGGACATGCCCACTAGCCCATAGCCATCTCCCGCACAACCACATCTGGGTCTTTTGGCTCGCTTTGCCTACACCCCCACTTGAGCCTCCCATACCTGCTAGCCCCATCACTCCCGCCTTAGATATATACCGCTCGTCGCCACCTCCGTCAAACATGTCTGAACCCAGCGAGACCGGAGGCCGCCCATTGGATCCAACTACCAACCAACTACAGCATCCCCAAGGCAGCACCACTCCCCCACCAACATCTCTTCACGTCGACCATTGCAAATCGTCGCCAACATATAACCACTCCAAGAAGCCCAGGAAGACTAGCCCTCGTCATCGCCCTGGCGATATTCAACAAGAGCCTTCTGCCCCCCACATCGGCTCCTCCCGTTCTGAGCAACCATCGACTGCGAGTCCTACAGACATGGCTTCCCACATGTCGCCCGTTCACTACACCAAGACTGGTCGCATCAGCAAAGCAAAGAAAGGCTTGAAGGTGCACAAGTGCGATACCTGTGGAAAGGTGAGTTGAGATTCTTAGTCCTGCAACCACCTACCGGCACCTTTATTATATCACATCAGTATCATGTTACATCCTCGCCATATCCAGTCAAACAAAAGCACCTCAAAGTACTATTCTTTTGCTAACCGTCGCCAGTCTTACACACGTGCGGAGCATCTAAGGTCAGCCCAAGCTCACTATTAAGCGAAACTATATTGACTTTTTATGTAGACGGCACATGAAGAACCATACGCCAGACGATGCACTAATCTGTGAAGTCGCTGGATGTGGCAAGGTATTCCATCGCATGGATCTTCTCGTTCGACACCAGGAGAGGCAGTACGTAGGATCGAAGTGGCTTTTGACAGTTCGACACTGACGTGTTTGACAGCAACGAGATGGGAAACGACTCCCGTCGGCCAAGCATCGACGAGTCACCAGTCCCTTTGCCCATCTCCACCCCTGCTCCCGAGCCATCCATCCTGAGCGGTACACCTGCTCTGCCAAACCATCCATGTTTTTTGCCCGTCTCTCCTATGCATGAGTCGGCGCCACCCCCAAGGTATAATTACGCTCAGTTTCGTACTCCTCGAACGCCCCAGGCTTTTTCTTCAAGTTTCAGTCATGTTCCTCGTTCTTCTCCACAGTCTGTTTTCAGCCCCAAGTGAGTTTCATTGTACATCTGCAGCACGTTTCCCATCTTTTCAATTCTTTTCATCATCGAACGTGAGAGCGGATGCTGATGCCTTTCAAGTCAATCTAAACATCATCGATCTTTCCATTATGACCGCCAACCTGTACCGGCTATGGTATCGGTCGAACCTGGCGTTCCAGGTCTGTGGCCTGAACCATACAGCCCTCTGGGTTACTCTTCTTCGACTAGCGGTTACGTATCACCAATCGCGCCAACAGACTACCCAGTCTACACCCCTTACCACCGAACACGCACTCCTTCGAACGCATCATGCATTGAACAGCCCAGCTGGACCTTTGCGTCACGTTCCCCCGCTTCTACGACATCAACCATGGCCTTCACCTGGCCTTCTTCAGACAAGGGGCATACTGCTCCAGGTCTTGCTTACATGAACACTTCTTGTCCAATGACTAGCATGTCAATTACTTCCAGCTTCGATGCAATGTCGGAATTCGGGCATTATGGGCCTAAGAGCATGATGCAGAGAGATGAAGAGGAGAGAGCAATTCTCTTTGGAGAACAACAATACGGTATGGCTTCGATCGACAACACCTATCCGTTTGAGCAATGTCTTGACTGTTACTGGAGGCTCTTTCATCCCACTTTCCCCGTCGTCCATCGATCTACCTCTGTGAACTCATCACCAATGCTGCATGCCGCCATGGCTGCCATTGGGGGTCAGTACTCGCACGATACGAATGTCAAGAAGCAGTCCCGAGACCTTCACGACCGATGTGTTAAACTGCTCGAAGTGGTAGGTTAATTGCATGGCATGATGACCATGGACTAATCATCAGCAGAGGGACCGAGAAACAATGACCGAGTCCGACCGACTATGCGATTTCCAGGCAATATTTCTTCTCGAGGTCCTCTCTCAGTACCGTGCTCGTCGAGCTGGTAACGCCTTGTCCCCGCGATTCGGCAAAGTGTATCACAAGGTAGGCTTAGTGTTGATACATATATATGTTAAAACTGGCTAACATAGACAGGCTGCCGAAAACTCCAGACGCAATACTCGACTTTTGGGCGACATCGTGTCGTCTCTCGACCAACCTGCAGAGCCAACTTCGGCCTGCTGGCAACAATGGATCGAGCTGACATCCTGGCAACACCTGCTTTTGTCTTGCTACGTTCTCGAGTCGCAACAATCGCTGTTGCTTGCTCGCAAACCTTTTCCTTCCCTCGTGCAAGACACCGCCTTTGATCTACCATTTCCTGGGCATGTCTCATCATTCGACGCCACCGATCTGACATCATGGGCTGAAGCAGTTCGGCAACACTCATACTCGCCTGCATACGTATATGAGGTAACACCAGAGTCAGCCTCTGTCTCTTTCGACACTTTCCAGTCGGCCATTTTGCTTGCGGCTCACTACAAGTGTCCTGGAAACTCATCTTCCTACATTTCATCGCCGACAGTATCAAACATTGAACATCTTCTTGCTACAACGCCCGTCACTATGCGAACGCTGGCCACTTCCAAACTTGTCCAGGTGACACCTCTCCGCGCTCTCCTCGCTGTCTCTGGAGAATCGTGGATTCTTTCCGAAAAGGTCGAAACACCCCAGCTCTTCGCTGCACTAAAAACCAGTCTTAGGACGTGGGTGGCCCAGGTTTGGTCTACCCCAGCGTCAGAAGGCGTGCCGGTCAAAGAAGCTTTGCGCATCTCAGTCGAGATTCTGCAGCAGGCGCTGCAAGAACAACGACTCGGTGTCGTACCAGAAATGGGCACAGACATGGGTATCTTCTTCGCCGCTCTGGTCCTATGGGTCGTCACTGTCGCAGCCACTACTCGCATGAGAAGACTGTCTTCAGAAGACACAACCACCACACAGTGCCAGACTCGCAGGCAGTCCCTCGCTCAACCGGGGACCGCAGTCCAGCAAAGCAGTCTCCTCCCTTCTCCCATTGCAGCTACCCACTCCCCCATCTTTGAAGCCACGCCCGAAAACCCTGTGCTGTCGCACGCGCAAATCACTATCAATACGATTTCCTTTCTCAACAACGCGCTGTTTGTCTCGCCAAATACGGTTTCAGCGAAAGATGTCTCGCGCCAGCAAACAGGCTGTGTTAGTCTCTTGCTATGGGTTAAGTTGCGACTCCGCGGCGTTCCTGTTGACGACTTGAACGCCGGTGTTGCCGCTGGTGCCTGGGACTCGACGTCGAAGCTTGGCGAGCTGCTTGATGGCGTCACTGGGTCGCTCGAACGGATTTTGCGGAACGGATGGAATGGATGGGGTGTTTGAATCCCTGAAGCCCTCATCTTCTTCTTTCTTCATTTTACATACATTCGCTTTCTTGTCTTTCGCTTCGATTATTCGGAATGCTTTTGTCACTTCCGACCTTTTTTTGCTTGGTTGCCGTTGCGCATCGTTTTTGATTGGGTCTGGCTTTTACTTTTATGTTCTTCTTTTATGCTTCTCATCATGTCTTCATACCACTCGCTAACGGTCCTGCTCTGTCAACTCCTCACTGGAGTTTCGACGTTTGTTTATTTTTCCTTTCGAACCATGTCTTCTTAACACTCGCTTTGCAGCTTTGCGCTGCTCTTTTCTCATTACCTCGCCCTTCGCTTGAGGTCTTTTTTTTCATTTCATGTGGCAGGACTGGATTTACGACTTTTACGATTTTTTTCTTGTTCGATCGCTTTTTTACTTTGTACGGAGGATACCCCTTGCATTTTTTTTATTTTACCACTTGCTTTGCATGTTCTTCTGCATCGTCTTCTTCGTTTAGCGTACACAACAGTGTTACTCTTTTTTTTAACGCATGACTGGCATTTTTTGTATGGCATATCATGTATTGTATTTTTTTTCTCTGCTCTTGGCCCATCTGGCTTCAATGAGATCTGAATCGTTTGCATCATCTTGGCTTTTCTATCAAAGCATGCCATGCATTCGCTTTTACACGCAACAATACAAGACTGTCTTTTGCTTGCGAATTAAATTTGCATCAAAGTGGAATACATATACGCTGTTATCGTGTCTCCTGCCTCTCAGCACAACGCTTACATCTCCGTCCCCGTCGCTCAATCCTGCCATTCACCACGAAGATTTCATTCCTCTTCCCCCCACCAACAAAACAATCTCTATACATCTTGAAAAGCCCTACTACTATCTTATCCCCTAGGCTTCTCACTCCCTCCTTATCTTCCTTCCCACCCTCCTCTGTTCTTTCCTCAGGCTTAGCACTTCGCTCCTCGCTGCAATGCAACAAGTCATTCATCATATCGTCGTGCGCTCGCTGTGCTGCTGCGGGATTCTTGCATTTCTTTGTTCCGTTGGGTCGGGAGTTGTATATTGGATGTGGGGGGGAGTGGTAATAGGGGTTGCGGTATGAGGCCATGGGGGACGGGGGTGTTTGCATAGTTTATGGCTTTGGGGATTATCTTTTGGTGATTATGGGTTGTGGGAGGGGCAATGGGAGGGTTTATATCTTGGGTACGATGAAGCGGTTGTTTGTGGGTTAGGGGAAACAGGTGCAGAGGATGTGAGACTTTGTGGCGTTTCTTTGTTTTGTGGGTGGGGTGAGGGGGGAATGCTTGAGATGGGATGCTCATAAGTGTGAAAATGGCTTGGAATATGAGGATGAAGTAGAAGTGAGACTTTGGCATCTTTCTACATTGAAAGGCGTGAGAGTGAGACATTGCACAAGGAAGATAGGAATGATTAATAACATATGATTGAACATTTCAGTATTGTGTATATGTTAGAAAAAAGGAAAATGCCAAGATTGGCAACGTGATGGGTGACCATAATACTGGTATCAAACGAACAATTGTGTATCCTGAATGATGAGACAAGAAATGGTGATCCTAAAATCTCCCGGAGATCCTCCCAGTTTCGTTCCAAGACTCCCCCTTGCAAAATTCATACATCCCTCTTCCTCCTCATTGTATCATGCTAGATGATTAGTATTTACAGCTTGGACCTTCGCTGCAAATATAGCTTCAAAGCAACGGCCGCTGATTGATGTTAGGATATACCCAGAACCACCGTCTCAAAAGCACGAGTTACTCACCAACAACGGCAGCCAGACTCTTCACACCCAGCAAGCCCAAAAACCAAGTGCTCCATCCAAGCGGGTTTCCCTCGCGATCAAAGTTTGGTTTTATCTCATTCATGCCCTTCAATTGCTTCTGCTTTTGAGGCGTGTAGGGTGGGTATCTAACAGCCATGAGGCCCTCAATCCATGCAGGTGTTGTAGTCACACTCCTGCGGTGAGTAAAGGTATCGAAACTAGCTTTGCCCCTGTATGAACCTGTGCCACTTGTTCCGACACCACCAAATGGCAGGGTAGGAATGGAGCCGTGGAAGAAGCCGTCGTTGAGAGAAGCACCGCCACTCCGTGTTTGGCTGATGATCTTCTCCATCTCGGCCTTTGTACCAAAGGCATAGGTACCAAGGGGTGTGTCGTGGAGTTCGTTTGCAATCTTGATGGCTTCGTCGAGGTTTTCAACAGGAAGGATGGGCAAGAGCGGGCCGAAAGATTCCGAAGTGACCATGCTGTCGTTCATGTCGCTGATTTGGACAACGGTGGGCTCGATGAAGAGGTCAGACTCGTCCATGGTGCCGCCGAGGACAATCTTGCCGTTGCTGTCGTCAACCATCTTCTTGATGCGTTGGAATTGACGCAGATTGACGATGCGGCCATAGTCAGGGGACTTGCGGGGGCCCTGTGGGTAAAATTCCTCTAGTTGCTTCCTCATCTCCTCAATAAAAGCGGGCAGGATCTCGCGATCAACAAAAGTGCAATTGTGGCTGAGACAAACCTGACCAGCGTTCAATGTCTTGGCCCACAACAATCGTCTCGCTGCCAACCTGGGATCCGCATGCTTTGTGACAATGGCAGGGTTTCTGCCGCCCAACTCAAGCGTCAGCGGTGTAAGCGTCTCAGCCGCCTTCTTTGCGATGATCTTGGCGACAGCCTCGCCACCCGTGTAGAAGATCTTGTCCCACTTTTGATCGAGGAGGGCAGTGGTTTCGGGAATGGCGCCTTGAATGCACGTGTAGCACTCGGGATCCAGTGATTCGCGCAGGATCTTTTGAATGACAACGGCGGCGTTGGGCGACGACTCAGAGGGCTTGACGATGGCGGTACATCCAGCTGCAATGGCACCAATGAGGGGGCCTAGGGTAAGTTGGATAGGGAAGTTGTACGCTCTGTTCTTGTCAGCATCGCTTCTTGACACACCAATGGCATTGAGAAGCATACCCAATGATCAGAGCAGCCCCCAAGGGATCCTTCTTGATGTGCGGGCGGAGCGGCTTGTTGGTCCAGGGAATGTCGGGCGCGGGCTCGTCCTTTGCGAACTGGCGGACCCTGTCGGCCATCCAGATGCAGTCGTTCATGCACCACGAGATCTCGGTCAGGTACGTCTCAAACTCCGGCTTTCCGAGATCGCGCTTGCAGGCTTCTTTGATGAGTTCGGCATTGTCCTTGAAGCCCCAGTAGAGCTTGCGCAGCTGCTGAATGCGGAACTCGAGGGGCCTGGTCTTGTGGGAGAGGAAGCTGGCCCGCACCTTTGCGCACGTGGGGGCAATGTCGTCGATGGGCGTGTGTTCGAAGGGGGGTAGTTCAACCATTGTGTCGGGAGTTGAATTGGGTGGGATTGAATTGGAATGAAAAAAGAAGGGGGAAGTCCAACACAGGATAAAATGGAAGCATCGGCCGACTATAAGCTGCTCAACAGGCCTGGCGTGGGCGACGTCTCACAAGCACGCGGCAGACATACCTCGGTCCTACACGCTACGGACGTGCCCCGCACTGCCTAAACCCCATTCGGACTAGCCTCTCCTCCTTGCATTCCTGTCTCCTGCTCGGTCTGGACATTGTTCAGACGGTATTTGGAAGCATATTGCCAGTCTTTACCAGTCCCGCTGCCGCTCCAAACATCACGACCAGGGCCCGGTACAGACCTGCCTTATTTCTAACCGTTGCCGCCGCTATGGCTGAACCTGCTGAGATATCCGCATTTATCCTCAGCTGCAACGGCGTATTGATCTCTTCAGGCACATATACTTGCTGGCAGTTAAGCTTAGTACTGTCAAATTTTCTCGTCCACACCAGCTACACAAAATGTTGAGCCCAGCATCTCTCTCCTCCACAAGAGACCAGGCGCTTCAATAAGAAATCTCTGCCGTTCTGCCCTCTTACCACCACAACTTTACTACCTGATGCGCCTCTTGTCAAAACCTCAGCCTTACCAGATATGCATGCAGGGCTCAAAGGTCAGCAGCGATAATCCCTGACAAGTCGCTCGGTGCTACTGTAGCCTTGAACCTAAACGAACCGGAACTCGGAAGCCGAGTGCTTTCCGAAGCGTACGCTGCGCCCCTGTGTTTACAGCGGATACTCACACCACGGTACTCCAGTAAATGACTTGTCAAAGCGTGTATGCTTGCGACGTGGTTTTCGTAATGCATATAGCTGTCATCAATTTTCTTTGTCTGATCTCGGATCCGGGACTCTTTCGCCATCCGCTTCGGTCGCCTTGCCCCGAAGCCTTGGTCTGAGCGTGGTTGAGACACGAGATAACGCTTGTGCGAATCGAGGAGACTTGAGTCGTAGTAATGCGTTAGGATCTCCAGAAGCATGTCACTACAAGTCACGTCTTGTTCCCACATGTTGTTCTGTCGGAAAGACGTTCTTCAACCACAAACAGAAAACATGGATACAGCTTTCACATGAAAATGCCGCTCTAACATTCAGCTCGGATCACGGGACCTGTATTGATGCTAGGGATGCGGAGATCCATATCCGCTGAGTTTGTAAGCGAAGCATCGCATTGCCGCATTAGCGCATGCTAGTAACCTTGGTACTGTATCAGTAAGCCCTTAGTTGGTATATAGATATTTAGTCTCTGCAACTTCGTCCCCCTACGCAGATAGGTTCCATTGCTTCTCCCCAAGCACGCGCTGCAAAGGTTCCTTTTGCTATTTTGACTGGCTCTCTCCATTTTCTCATACATATCTGCTGCTCATGAGAGAACCCTTTTCCAACCAATTCCAAAACTAGCTATTTCTCAGCTGAAGAGTCGAAACCATGTTTTACACTGAGATGTCTGACTGTCTACAGACACCCCGCAGTAATAGTCTGGAATTGCTTAGCATACTACGAGATGTACGCCCTCCACAGAGTTGCCAAGTTCTGCTAACCAATGCTTTTGTCCAATCTTAGGCGACCAAAACGCCATCTTACCAGTGCATCTGCATACAAATGCCACAAAGTCACACATAACATGAATTTAAAGTTTACACAGCACACACACACACACACACTATAAAGCAGTGGTGCAAGTCACTGGCCGATACATCATTCATCCCAAAAGTGTGTCTCAGCAACAAAATGACATCCAAGTCACTACCCGTACGCGCAGCCCTGATTGGGCTTTCCTCCTCTGGCACTACGTCATGGGCTACTAATGCCCACCTTCCCGTTCTCAAGACACCCGCTGGCCGCTCAAAAATTGCTATCACTGCATTGCTAAACAGCAGTGTCGATGCCGCAAAAGCCGCGATACAAAAACATGAGTTCCCCGCCACTACCAAAGCTTACGGTGGCCCCGAAGACCTAGCAGCAGACCCAGATATCGATTTCGTGATATGTAATACAAGAGTTGACAAGCACCGCGAGGTTATCATGCCAAGTATCAAAGCGGGCAAAGATGTCTACGTCGAATGGCCAATCGCCTCAAACAAAGACCACATCCAAGAAATAGTCGAGGCAGCACGGCAAAGCGGATCTAGAGTGGCAGTAGGTCTGCAAAGGCGATAGGATCCAGCCGTTGTTAAACTCCAAGAAATCCTAGACGGAGGCAAAGGGGAGCTAGGGAAAATCCTAAGTTCAAGCGTCCAAGCCTTTGGCGGCGTTCCTTTCAGAGACATGATGCCCCCAGGTTTAATCTACTTTACTGACAAAGAAATCGGTGGAAACAGCATCACTATCGGCGTCGGCCACAGTATGCTCATACTCCTAAATCATCCTTCAAACAAGCTATCTAACGAAATCTCAGTTCTTGACTCCATCCTCACAGTCCTCGGCCCCCTCTCCCCCTCAAGCATCCACTCCAAATCCCAAATCCAACGCCCAAACCTCGGCGTTCCCGACACAGAAACTCAAAAAGTAACACGCCACATAACCTCCAACGTGCCCGACCTCCTCTCTCTCCACGCCACTCTGACACCCTCCGCCCAAACAGCCCCAAACGCAACACTTGCCTTTCTCTTTCGCAATGGCCCAGCCTTTCCCAGCGACCCCGCACTTACCTGGTCCATCAACTGCGAAAAGGGCGAAATCAAACTCGTATCGCCTACGAGTCCTTTCTTTCAGTTTTCAGATAACGATGCGGCTGTGAAGATTCAGGTGCATGATTTTGCGAGTGGGGAGGTAAGAGATGTGGGGTGTGAGTGGAGCAAGGAGCAGATGGAGGTGCCAATTTTGGCGAGGGATGTTATGGGGTGTTTGCTTGCGTTTGTGGAGGGGAGGGAGGAGGGAGATGGGTGGGTGGGGCTTGAGGATGCGGCGAGGTTTGCGGAGGTTATAGGGAGGTTTGTGGAGGTGTAGGATGGGTGTATGTAGTAGGAATGGGAATTGAATGGATGGGAGAAGTTAGTGTATATAAGTATGAGGGAGATTGCTCATGAATCCATGCAAGACATTAAGAATATACGTGTCTGTCGTAGTGTTGAATTAAACTCAGATTAGCATTTCTAACCTACTAAGCTACTATCCCTAGCAACCCCTAAATGTACTCCAAATTTCACAAGACACCAGCCTCATAATCCATACCGACTCCCCCTGCCTCCCAATCAATCCTCACATCAACCTGACACAACTTTCCCCCATCCGGCAATTCCTCACCCCCAAAGTACCTCTTGACCACCTCAGCCACGCATTCCCCCAGAAAAGGCAACACCGTATGCCCCGTAGAATTCTGCTCCAACACCACCGCTCCCTCAAAGAATCCCGCCATATACCTCGCATTCGCAACAGGTGTAATAGGATCTACCGACGGATTCACAAACAAAACCGGTGTCTTAGTTTCCGTATACTTGAACCCTGTACACCAATCAATCCCACCCCATTCAAATACAAAGAGAAAAAAAAACAAGAAACATAGACAAGAAATGTACTTACCTTCAATTATCTGACTCTCGGGCGGCACAATCCCAACCCCAACCCCCAACACCAAATTCTCAAGCGCATACACACGTCCCGCATACACACTCGTTCTCGCCACTTCCTCGTATCTCTCCCGGAAAAAACTACGGTTCGGTATCTGACTCCGCCCCGCATAATCAGCACCAGTAACCAACATATAAACCTCCTGCGCCGCACCACTAGGCCGTTGGAACCGCGCGATTTCCTCCAGCCAAACTGCTGCATCCCCCCGTTCCAACGCAGCAAGACCGCGCGCGAGGAACGGGAAGCCAATTACGCCGGCGTATAGGGTGTGAAACGCTGCGGCGAGGACGGCGTCTTTGGTTATGACTTTGGGCACTGGAGTCGAGGTCAATTGGATGACTGGTTCACGCTCGAGGTTGGATAAGAAGGTATCGAAGCGGTTTTTCACGTCCTCTGCGTAAAAAGCGCAAGTTCCAGGACCGGCGGCGTGGCAGAGGGAAAAGAACAGGCTATACGCTGCATCGACGTCTTGTACGGCTGTTAGCTTAGCGCCGTTGAGGTGGTCTTCGGCGTTGACGGTGCCGTCTAGCACCATGCGGCCGACGCGGGTGGGATACTTGGATGCGAGGGCTTGTCCGATGATGGTGCCGTAGCTGAGGCCGTAGAAATTGACAGGGGATTCATCTGGGTTCTCGAGATTGCGGAGGCGGGATTGGTGGGTGGTGAAGTGGAGCATGTCTTGTACTGCGGCGAGGGTACCGGCGTATTTCGCGGTTGTGTTTCCGTTGGCTTTTGTGCACCATTGGCCTATTGCGAGGCCGCGAGCGTACGTTTCGTCGAGATCGGAGGCTTGGGATAGCTCTTCGAAAGTACTCCAGTAGGCATCTCGGATGTTTGGTTGGCCGGGGAAGCATGTCAGTTCGATGCCGCTGTTGTTTACGCCCCTTGGGTCGAAGCTGATGATGTTGTATTGTTCGCCACTCAGATTCAAGATGAGGTCGCCGATTCCGGAAAGCAAACTGCCTACGCCTGAGCCACCGGGTCCACCAGGGTTGAAGAGAAGATCCTGAGTAACGTTCCCCGGGGCAAGCTTGCGAATGAATGCGACGGTCGTAGTGCCAACACTGCTATCTTCGTAGTCGAGCGGTACTATCAGACTGGCGCAGTCAAAGCCATTGTAGCACGGTATCCATTGGAGATCAGACGATGGAGTAATCTAGACTTCCAGCATAAGTCGAGAAGATGAGCTTGATTTACTTTACTCACTTGACTGAAATTCTGTACTTCGATTGCTCGATGCGGTAGTGCACTTTGGGTCTTTGGAGAAGCGGTGGTGAATGATAGTACGGATAGAGTTGCCCAAGATCGCATGTAAACCATTGTGCCAGTGATGCGAACCTAGCCGATCGTAGAGGCGATGGGTAAATCAAGGCTGTTTCCAGACACGAGTATCCCAATAGTTGGAATGAGCCAGTATCTTATAGTGTCTGGCCCTACCTTCCTCGTCTAATGACGACGAGGCTGCTGATGACTGCAGTAGGTCGTGAAACCTGCGCATGATCAAGCTCTTTCTACGCTGCTCAAGTTGACCTATCGTATCTGCGGCAAGCCTGCTTTGTGAAGAATCTTCAAAACGAAGGTTCTATGAGTTGCGTTGTGTAGGGTCGCTTCAGCCGATTAGTCCTAGGAATCCGTATCAACAGTAACCACATTCTGTCCGATCCACGACAAGATGCATCATAAGGGTATCGCAAGTAAGGCTGACTTTGCGGGGTTGGGAGGCATACCCAACAAGCGTAAGGCCGCCCTTGTAGCCTCTTTGGTGTGCCGTAAGTACGCCTGATTTGTGAGGACTTGTGACGGGCCGGCTTTCAGCGTATCAAGTTAGGAAAGAAACTAACCATTGTAGTAGACTGCGGAACTGGGTATAGAGGAAGCGAGAGTTTTGAAAGCATTGTATGTATCAATGTATTGCGCTAACCTTTCTCCACAGCTTACCGCATGGACTACAAAGAGTAATGCCGGTATGCGTGACGATCTGATCTGAAGTGGTATCCCTCCCAAACGCCTTGTTCTTGTCCCAACGCCAAACAGCCCTTTCATCCTAACTTGGCCAAGCAGTGATGCGCAAACTCCAACATTCCGACTGCGCATTTACCGCTTCGCCTTCACATTGAATGGGCTCTCTTCCGCAGCCTTGAACGCGTCAAACGCGAATAGACTGATAAAGTACAAGGCTGCAAATCTGATCACCAAATCCGTCAGGCCGCCGTTGCCCATCAACATGCGTTGTAAACCTGCGAATGGACTGTCCCCGACCGGGCGACTGGGCTCCTCGGCTGACCCAAGCGTGCGCCCTTTGGACTGGAAGGCAGTGGATGCGGCGCCCGGACCAGATGTGTCGCTGGCAGCTTTGCGCACGGCGGCAGTGAGGGCAGAGGGGTTTGCGCCGCGGATGGTCTCGACAACCGAGTTGGACTTGATTACCAAGAAAGTTGGCATGCTGCAGATAACGCATGTTAGCATTCCATATCTTGATCGAGGTTGTCGATTGCGGTTTGGAGTCCTATCAATTGGAATATACGTACGCGCTGACGCCATGTTTTCTTGCAACTTCCTGCTGGCTATCAACATCCACCTTGACAAACTGCATCCTTCCTGGCTTCGTCTCCTTCTCTGCCAGGTTCTGGAAGACGGGCGCAATGGCTTTACATGGCCCGCACCAGTCGGCGTAGAAGTCTACGATGGTGTATGTAGATTGCGAGAGAAGCTGGGAGAAGTGCGAAGCCGACGTGACGGCGATAATTTTGCCCGGCATGATGACTGTCGTCGCGTAGATTTCTAGTGTTTTGACAAGGTATAGAGAAGCGTTTAGGTTGTACTAGGTTGGTTCAGTTGATGGATGGTGGAGTGGATATGATTTGCGGGGAGGACAGCTTGCGACTGGGATGCGCCACCGGGAGCTTGGGTGGGTCGTGCATTGATCACAAACGTAAGTTCCTTGCCCCGCTTTACGCACTTCTGCATTCAATTGTCAGGCCGAAACCTTACAATTGAAATACTTTCCGCAGTTAGAGATATAGTTCTAAAAGAGATTTACAATTGGTATGATTATATGACTGAGATCCCGCAATCTTCTGGTTACTCCCGAAACTCACTCTCTAGCCATATGCAGTCATGATAGCCTATGGAATCGTCTCCACGGGCGATACAAGTGATTATTGACTACCCGACTATTACACTTACGTCTCGCTTCCCCAAATATATCTATATATGTATCGTATGGCCATCGCAGTCATTGCTCCACCTTTTGAACAACCTTCCTTTGCAGCATGTTCAATCATCTATAAGATCTTCAGCAGCTGACGTAGCAGCCTCGACTGGAACGTTGGCGTCTTTGAATGGACTAGATCTACTCCTTGATTTCCTTGGAATATACTCTGGTTCGGCTTCGCTACCGCTGTCAATCTCTTTGGCGGGACGTCTCTTTGCTTTCGGTTTCTTTGCTTTCGGTTTCGTTACGGGTGATGGTAAGATTGTCTCTTGCAACTCATCACTCGGATCCTTGAACGGGCCTTCTGACTCTTCCGAACTGACACTAGGTTCTCGCTTGACTTTGGTCTTCTTGCTACGAGACGTCTTCGACTTCAGTGGCGCAATCCTAGGCTCTGGCGGCTCTATGACCTCTCCTGTCTCGAATGTCTTAAGCACCACTTCCTTGAGCTCTTCGGGGATTTGATCGATTCCATAAAACTCCCCTTTTTCGTAGCACATCTGTGCACATGCCAAGTCATATTCAGACATGCACTTCTGTGGGATGTTTAGCACAATGTTCTATCCAGAAAGGAGGAAACAACTTACCCAGTGTTTGTAATATGTCGAAGTATGGTCACCGTCAAAGTTGACCAAGATGCCAAGTCTCAGATGGCCCTTCGTGATCTTGGTGTTGTCCGATATGCAGTCGCCTCCACGGCAAGCAGCGGCACGAGTAGCGACATCGGCCTTGTAGCCCTCTGCGTCCCTATACTCTTTCGCGTACTTGCGTGAAGTTTTCGCCAGGTCCTCACGAATACCCTTGAACCCCTTATCGACGGGCATACCCTCTTCGAATGCGAGTCTCACCTGCTCTTGGCTTTCAGGGCTGAGTCGGTCATAGCCGGGTGCTTTAGTTGGATCGTTCTCGGTGGTCTCTTTCAAACCAGCGATCTGATGCTTTGTCGCACATCCCCTAGATCTGTATTAGCATTTATTTCTGTGTAGGGATGCAGGAAAAAGTTGACTCACCAATGACGCCAGGCCGTGTACCATCGGCGTTGCATGCCATTATCAAACAGTGTAAGTGTACCGATGCGCAGTTCACCTTTGACGATTTTTGATTCGTTCCGCTTACAGGCTGCTTGCTGACAGATTGCTGAGCCATTATCTGCATGGTCTATATGGCATTAGCAAGAAATAAAACAATCGACAAACGAGCCTTCACATACCTAGGCGCCATTTGGGGCCCTCTTCGTCCATTGTGATTCGCAGGTGCGTGGAGTATAAATCAGTAGTAAAGATTGAAAGGGTTGACAAGGTCGTGGAAGAATGACGAGGGGAAACCGATGATATGTGAGGCGAGTGGCTTGTTTGTTTTCAGCACGCACGTGCAGCTCGCTGGGGAAAGAGGAAGGCACGACAACGCCAAGCCAGTCACAGGTGTCAAACCTCTTCTGAGTACGAGATGAGTGACTTTGATCAGCCGGGGAAAGAGAATTCTCTACGATACTTCAACTTAGTGAAGTGCCGTTGAGCACAGCAGTATGTGGGTGATGCCTAGTTTTTAGTGAGTTTATGCACGTCCAGATCACGGTGAAAGGGTAGAAAGTCTAGCCCATCAACTGTGAGCAGTGAATTGTGACAGCAAACACACTCCTCATAAATAGTTTCATGTTCTCCATGTAGCCTTCTCCTCACCCTTACCAAAATTTCTCTAAATAATCAAAATGTCAGAATCACTACCAAATCTCACCTCCTTCACGCCTGAAGAATACACCAATGATTGGACCTACATCCAACTCGCCGCAAGGTACATCGGTCTCCGTGCCGAATACCTCGCCCTTCGCACTCTCGTCGATGGCGCCATCGCTGCTCACCCCTTTGAGCGCGAACGCACCATCCACAACCTGCAAAATGCGCGCCTACGGCTAGAGAACGAAAAAGAGCAGCTACGCGCTCAGAAACGACAACTTGAGAGGGCAAACCTGACAAACCGGAATATCAACTGCGACTTACTGCGGCGGTACTCGGAAATGCAGGAAACTCTCAACATAGTTCTGCAAGCGCAATCTCAAGGAGATCGGGAGGCGCGAGCGCAGCACGCGAAGATTGAGAGACTTCAGGAAGAAAATGAGAATCTTCGGTGGCAGATTGAGATGTTGGTTAAGGCAAGGGATGAAGATGCAGGCAGTCCAGCTGGTTTGTGGAATAAGGGGGATAAATCGCAATCAGAAGTGGGTGAGATGGGAAAGACGGCTGAAAACCTAGACGGCTGGGTTGATAAAGTCATCACTGAACAAGAGAAAATGAGGAAGGCTGAGATATCCTGAGAACCATCGTGCTGGGACGATAACGACGACGATGACTATAATGATGACCATTTTGACATCTAGCATGAAGATTGTGTGTGCTGGAGAAGGTTGAATAGGATGCGGGAGAACCCAGTGAGTTCAAGACTGTCAACCAAAATAGTTACATGCCACATCACGGAGAAACCAGCGACGAGAAAAACTTCAAACTATGTACAAGCATACAATAAACATGTCAACACACCAGGAATGCGTCATTAATATCTGTACGACGGCTTCGAGCTCGTAGAAGCCGTTGAACTTGAACCACTGGAAGGCGGTCGGACCCCATTGATTTCAGCCTTGTCCTTCTTCCCAAGAACGACACGTTCACACCATGAGCACCAGCTTCTGAGCTCTCCTTTGACTTCGCGCTCGAGATACTGTATCGACTTTTCCTTTTCATCTTCATAGAGCTTTACGCACTCCCCAACACGGACCTGCTTTTTATGCTTCATTTTCAGCACCCCGCCAATTCCTTCAATCTCTTGAGTGAGGTAAGACGTTCCCCGCCAGCGGTCAGGTGACTCTGGGGAAGGGGTGTGCGACCTCTCAATAGTGTCCAAGAGGTCTTGCTCACAGGTCTCGTGTTCAACGACTCGTGCGCCTAGACAAGCGCAACCTCGCCCACATTCAACACCTTCATTACCCTCGCCAGCTCCCGTTCCGACTCCACCCAGGTAGTGGCTATATCGCGTGCGCCAGCTCCATCCACGAACGTACATGGTATCTGCGTTTCGTAGGTCCTTGCCACACGGTGCGCAAAACCACACCACATCATCGCAATTGCAAGGGGTGCGCTCAAATGCTGGTGCGGTGAATGCCCGCGGCTGACTACTTTCAAACATCACAGGGCGCTGGTCGGGCGACCCTGGTGGTGAGGAGTCGGATGACGAGCGTCTTTTCTGAACAGTCATGAGCATGGGCAACGGTGCCTTGGTGCACGTACGGCAGAGCCGACGATGTCGAGCCCGAAGTGCAGGTGTGGGTGGTGGCTTCATTGTGCAATTCTGAGACAATCATCAGTCCCAATTTGGTCCTTTACACATTCAGACGTCATACCCGGCAAACAATCGTCCCACAGCGCTGGCACTCGCCTACCATATCACGAGCACATATCCCGACACGACCGGTAGTCAGCCTTGATTCCATTGCCGTACCATACCTCCCTCCGTGGAGTGACGACCCTGGGGTTTCGCCGGGCTCGACATCCTCGTTGACGCAATGCAGCGTATGCTTGACAAGTTGGCTACGGTATTCAAGCAGATTTGCACGAAACTGCCTACAAGTGCGCGACAGATCATGAAGCGTGTTGAGGTCGAGCTGGGCGGCGAGCTGGCTTACTATTCTGTGTGGTTAACATGGTTAGCATGCATCATGGCGTGGAGTCGAGTCCATGCTATGGCTGAGGCTCACGGATAGCAGCTCAGGGCAGCGCTGAATCCATTCTTGTTTGGGTTCGGCCTCTCGTCTGCCACGCTCACTCGCTGCTCACTCTCTGTTGCCGAATCCTGCAGAGAATGGTGCAATGGTTTGACGTTCATCAAGCCAGACGCGTGAGGGGACTGTAATGAGGGCGCTTCATCGTCTTCCAAATCAACTAGGACAACCATCGTTGGCGGTTAAAAAGACAGTGCGCAGCATCCAAATCACGCAAGGCTAGAAAATGTAAAAATGGAGTTTCGTCGACGAGAGAGCGATGTCGCTCTCGTGACGACGTGATGGCACGCTTGACCGTGTTAGTGGGGCGCTTGGCATCTCCGGCTTCCTTCCGTCATCTACTTTACGCGTCTCCCTGACTCCTGGTCACGTGGATCAAACTTTCAAAGCACTCGGAATACTATCACAAGAACACAGAACGGACCTGCCTGACGGAGTAACATATGAGAATGTGTAGATTCTGGCCCAAGATACCGGCAAGTCCTTCTCACGTCAGATTGACTGCAGCTAAGCATAGGCAATGACAAGGCTAAATAGTAGGTTGGTTCTTGGTTGCCAGCGCCTCCTTCGTTAGACAATATATCGGTACCAAGGCTTCTGAAAAGAGGGGTCTAAATTCTTACTACTATGCGCATGTGATATGGGTACAAGCCACATGAACATCGACATGCATATCACCCTTGCAAACGACGCATTCTATTTCGTATATAATAATCGATATCTTGGTTCGTTCTTGAAGATAATGAACATCTCTACTCGAGAGATACTAAGCCTATTAGCAGGCATGGAGCTAGAGGCTGAACCACCTAGGAAATCTAAGTAAAGCGATACACCCACGGGCCTTTCGTCATCATGGTTATGACCAGAATCTTGACATGTGAATTTAAACGGCGATATTTCCTGTAGGTAAGTTTGTCTCAATTTTGTGGGGATTTGTGCCCAAAAAGCCTGCGACCTAGTTTGGACTTGCTTGTGGGTCGGCACCTAATTGTACATCTATCCGGCCGGTATAGGATACACCTGCATATCACCCACACCACAATCAACTGGTATGTGGCTGTAAGCTGACAATGGGAAATGTACCACACCTTTGTCTGGTCTAGGGAAATCTGCCCTTTTCGCATCCCTTGAGTGTTCAGATTTTAGCCATGTTCGGCTCTCCGCGACGCGGGCCGATGAGGGGCTTGCAGCAGCCACTGATAACCGCGGAACCACATGTTGAACAAGCAGGCCCAGATCCGAGCCTCATTCCCCACATGTTGACCATATGGAACCACTTGGGTTGTTTTGCTATATGGTCCCCTCTTTTGTCCGACTTCTATACGTCCAGTGTGCGAACGCCCCCGGACGCTAGTACTGTAATCCTGGTTTTTACATGCTCGTCAAGCATGGCTTCAGCGGCAATCGTATACACATCTGGCATCGAGTGCAGGGGACGAGGATTAATGTTTCAAAAGAGCCCGAGTTCCGACTCAGCTGATGTTTTTTCATATCTAGTGGCCCTTGTCACAACTATACATATCCTTATTCTTCCCACATTGATCTCATTTCAGCATCCTTGAGAGAAACCTCAAGCTTAACAGTAGTCCATATAGCATCAGCCAAGATAATGGCTAATTTCATCATTCGAGATGTCCGTATGTTTACTGGTGAAGAGGTGATCGAAGAAGGATACGCACACATTCAGGATGGCAAGATCAAATCAGTGGGACCAACAAGCAGTATCCCACAAGAATCAATAAAGACATATTCAAAACCAGGACACACTCTTCTTCCCGGCCTGATAGACTGCCATATCCATGCTGACAGAGCCGACCCCGTAGCTCTACCACAATCCCTACGGTTCGGAGTGACCACCGTGTGTGAGATGCATAACGAACTCGAAAACGTCCTGAAACTCCGCAAGCAAACCCTCGAGCCCGACACGGCATCCTACAAAACCGCGGGTCAAGCCGCAACAATCGAAAACGGCTGGCCCATCCCTGTCATCACCGCACACGACAAAAGCGAAGAAACCGCCGCCGCAATCGCGCGCTGGCCAAAACTCACCGACCACACCAGCGTAATCAACTACCTCGACTGGACCACCAAGGAAATGCAACCAGATTACATTAAGCTGATGCACGAAAGCGGCACAATCATGAGCCAAACCTTCGCCTATCCCTCCCTCTCCCTCCAACGCAATATCATCACCGAAGCCCACAACCGCGGCTACCTCACCGTCGCCCACGCAACCTGTCTGCAAGACACCCTGGATGTCCTCACCGCGGGCGTAAACGGGCTGACCCACACCTTCTGCGACCAACCGCCCACTCAGGAACTCATCGATGCGTACAAAAAGAACAACGCGTGGGTTAACCCGACACTAGCAACGATGGGTAGCTTGACAGCCGAAGGCGTAGACTTACAGCACAAATTCGCGCATGATCCGCGGGTTAAAGGGTTGATTGGAGAGGATCGCATCGGGAACATGTGCCGGTGTATGGGGTTTGCGGATAAGGGCAAGGTGGAGTTTGCGTATCAGGGGGTTAAGGCGTTGAAGGATGCGGGGATTGATATTCTATGGTGAGTGTGGACTTTCTTCTCGAAAAAAGGTGTACTATGCTCGAGGATATAGCTAACAGTGAATAGCGGAAGCGATGCCGCTGGTCCTGCAGTCGGTACGGCGTTCGGTCTGACTATGCATCATGAGCTTCATTTATTCGTGCATAAGGTAGGTATGATGCCCATGGAGGCATTGCGGTCGGCTACGAGCTTGGTTGCGAAGCGGTTCAAATTTGAAGACCGGGGGAGGTTGGCGGAGGGATTGAATGCCGATATGTTGCTTGTTGAGGGAAATCCGCTTGAGGATATCGATGCGACGTTGAATATTCGTGGTGTCTGGCGTGAGGGGAAGGTATGTAGTGTGTATGCTGAGCAGTTGGAGTAGCTTAAAGAAGGAATACTAGGATAAAGAGAGAGGTAGAAGAGAAAATGAGAAAAAAATCAACATTCGCCAAACTAAGCAATAAGGATCTCTCGATATAGCCAGTGGGTGCAGCAATTTAGCTGCTACAACACTATCTACTTCTTACGATCCTACCTTGGAAAGTGGAGGGCATGCCCCCGCCACAATGGCTAAAATGATAGTATATGTAACGGCGAAATCATAGTAGAAAGTTTGGTGGGGTGCGCAGCTTACTGATGGAGCACGCTACGACGGCGGGCTTACACGAAGCACTGCAGGGTAGGGTACCAGGAGGTAAATACAAAGCAGCGTCGATGAACCGTGGGCCCCACTGTCCGCATCGGCATGAGATATGGAGTTTCATTTCCGGGCCAGTCTAAACAGTTAGTTTTACATCCAGTATGTATAGGCTTTAACAGCATTAGAGACACTCGCAAGCATCGCCAGTACTAACTAGTTTGTGTTAGACCTAAATAGAGCTCGGCTTCTCTAGTCATCTCCAACCCCAGACTGTTACAGAAATCAGCGACATCACATATGACAGCGTGCCAAATCTTCTAAGCCCTCAGTACTTGTGAATCACTCTTTTTTATAGCAGCTACTGTGTATGACTCTTTCTGGCCCAGGCCAAAGGTCTATTCTAATACCTGTGAGATGTCACAATATCTCACCTTTCCCTTCTTCTCAGATGGTGCGATACTTGCCGTGTGCACTAACTCAGCCGTCCCTGCAGGTCTGCATACTTAACGAATTATACCGTAGTATACCCGCGATCTAGCAAATCTTCGCTAAACGCCTTGTCAATGCTTAGCAGAAAGGGGTTCTTTTACTTAACACATTTTAGGAAGGTCACCAACGATTTTGCTCGTTTTCCGCTTGTTTCCCGTACTTTTCTTTCCGTGCCTAGCACCAGGAAATTTGACACGGCTGCGACTGGCATTTGGACATCCAAAGAAAACGTGGCGAGCCACTAGTCCTGATGCAGCCCGCCGTCGTTCCCCCCGGCTTATAGCAACGTCGTAAAATCGCTCATCCGAAACCAGGCGCACGTGGGAGAAAAACGTCAGCTAAAGCAATGGTTTGAGAGATAACGTTTGTTGCGAGATGACATGGTTTGAAAGGTAACATGAATTGAGAGATAACAGCCCGAATGAAATCTGGCAGATAGAGTTACAACTATGTAGTATAAATTCAATTCTCGAGCAAAGATCGAATTTCTTTCACGTTCCCACCCATATCAACTTCGTAGAACATGGCGTCAGCGATGCAGGCTGCTGGTGCCCCGCAATCTACGAACCCCAAAGAGAACATGGGTGTCGGTGGTGTAGTGTCGCTTCGTTCGAGATCAAAGTCCCGGGAACGAAAAGGCTCCTTCGACCTCGGCAAGCTTGGGGAAATTGAGGACGCAAAAGACGAAGATGCGGGACTGAGGAACCATAATGATTTTAAGCAAAAGCAGGTTGGGCTACTTCTGTTTCCTATAGTAAGTACTTTGAGCTAATGATCTACAGAACTTTAGCCTCGCGCAGGTGTTCATGCTGGCCTACCAGTCTATCGGAACAATCTATGGTGACATTGGTACCTCTCCGCTTTATGTGTATTCGTCGACATTTACTGCGCCTCCAGATCGCCCGGATCTACTTGGGGCGTTATCGCTAATTATCTGGGCGATCACCTTGATGGTGACAGTGAAGTATGTGTTGGTTATTTTGCGCGCCGACAATGACGGCGAAGGCGGTACATTCAGTACCTATTCTTTACTCTCTCGATATGTAAGTTATTATATCAATATTTTGCGATAAAAATCTTAATCAGTGCAGGCGCATATAGCGAATCGTGACCCACGCGAAGCTACAATGATTCGTAAGTTTCTGTTGCTGTGAGTCTTCTCTAGCTAATAAGGCTGTAGGAATGGAACGATATCTGACGCAGGATCTGAATCGGTCCACCAAGACTATTCGCTCAACCATTGAGAAGACAAAGTTCTTCCGAGGTCTGCTGAAGACGATCGGTGTACTAAGCGTTTCTATGGTCATGGCAGATGGTGTCCTGACCCCTGCCCAGTCCGTACTAGGCGCTGTACAAGGTCTCAATGTTGTCAAGCCTGACATTTCCAAGTCCACTGTTGTTGGCGTAACCTGTGCCATTCTGGTTTTGCTTTTCTTACTGCAGCCACTAGGCATTTCAAAGATTACTGTTGTCTTCTCTCCCATAGTTGTAATATGGCTTGCTTTAAATGCTGGGTTCGGAATCTACAACTTGGCCCGGTAAGTCTAGGCACATTAACGAATTTTTTTTAACGGCCTGTTGACTTTGTAGGTACGATCATGCTATTCTAAAGGCGTTCAATCCGTACTATGCGTTCGACTATCTGATACGCAACAAATACAACGGATGGCACAGTCTTGGTGGTATCCTTCTTGCATTTACAGGTGTCGAGGCACTCTTCGCGGATATTGGTGCCTTTAGTCGGCAGTCAGTGCAAATCAGCTGGCTTGGATATGCCTACCCTTGCCTCCTCCTTGCCTATACGGGCCAAGCAGCCTATATCAGCGTTCATCCAGAAGCCTATTCCAATCCGTTTTACAATTGCGCACCAAAAGGCTGGTTGATTCCCTCTCTAGTCATCGCAATTGCAGCAGCAATTGTTGCATCGCAGGCAATGATTACCGCGACCTTTCAGGTTTGTACGCATTCGATGTTTTCACATTAGGTTCTAACATGTATCAGCTCCTCACACAAATCATGAAGCTCTCATACTTCCCACAGATCCGTGTAATTCATACCTCGCCTACGTACCACGGTCAACTGTATGTGCCAGCGGCTAATTGGCTCCTCATGATTGGCACTGTCATAATCGCCGCCGTTTACAATAACACGACTTCCCTTGGTAATGCCTATGGCGTTTGCGTCATGTTCGTCACATTCTTCGACACCTGCATGGTAACGCTCGTCGCAATCCTTATATGGCGTATCAAACCATATTTCGTCCTCATCCCATGGCTAACAGTGGCATGTATGGATGGCGCTTTTCTTTCATCAGCGCTCATCAAAGTCCCGGATGGTGCTTGGTTCACCCTCTTACTCGCTACACTGCTTGCCTGTATGTTTATTCTCTGGAGATTCGGGAAGGAGCAACAATGGTTCGCTGAGGCGGAAGATCGCTATCCCACAACCCATTTCGTCAAGACATGCGAAGACGGACGTATTCAGCTTACTGAGAGATTTGGTGGTAAGACGATCAGCTCTATCGAAGGATTCGCCATCTTTTTCGACAAGGCTGGCGAGACTACACCAATTGTCTTTAGTCAATTTGTTCGCAAACTAGTTACGATGCCAGAAGTCATCGTCTTTTTTCACCTCCGTCCCCTCGAAGTACCTTCTGTGGCCTACGAGGATCGCTACCATGTCTCCCGCCTCGCCATCCCCAATTGTTATCGTCTCGTTGTCCGCCACGGTTACATGGATGAAGTTATTACTCCAGACCTTGGCTCGCTGGTCTATGACAAAGTCCGTGACTATATATTGTCCCACGCCTTGGACCGTGAAGGCGAGGAGAAAGGTGCACCAAAAACCACGGGTAACGACCTTGGCAATGGGAACGATCCGAATACACTTAATCTCAAAGTTTCAGTCAATGAAACAAATGGATCGGCTACGACTTCATCCCGCCCAAGCGCGAGGCAGGCGCCTATGTCGACTTTGAATGCATCAAGCACTACAGCTAGACTTACGGCCCTCGAGCGCGCTTTCAACCATGAAATCTTGTACATTATTGGCAAGGAACAGATGAAGGTTAAGAGCAATACCAGCTTCATCCGCAAGGTTTTGTTGTACATCTTCCTGTTTGTTCGGGAAAACACTCGAAACAAGATTGCTTCCTTGGACGTTGACCGCGACCGCATCATCGAGGTTGGTTTTGTCAAGAACGTATGACTGTCACCGAGCTTTATTCCTCACTTTCAAAGCAGAAGAAAGTTAGCGAAGCGCCAGGCAAGAGAGAAAGAAGTAAGCTTCAAGAAGCATTGTTGGGCTGCTAGTCTCTATACAGCATATGCATCTTTGTCCTGTAATAATAGTATAGTGACTGATAACATTTGTCCAACCGGACCGAATACTTCACATTTCGTTCTCAATCACAGGCTGGCATCGCCTCTTGCACACTGGGCATTGCTTTATCACCACGTCCATTGTCAAGGATAACGCCAAGGACGACGTCTTCGTTTCGCGATGCAGCCAAGACAGCACGGCTCCGCTTTACCCGGTCACGCTGGTCTCTACCCGAAAGGCACGTGAAGTGGAAGATGTTTGCCCCACTACTATTGCCTTATTTTTTATCATAACTTCTTCCCATACCAGGACCACATTCAAACTAAATTTTACACTCATTATCAACACCTTTGTACACCCATATTGCTCTCTTTCGACGCAACGTCGAGCTTCCAACGTCACCGCACCTTCTGCATCACCAATCCCGCCAGATCAATTCTACTGCCAATTGCGGCCGAACTGGGAGGAGAAGCCAGTTCCACCACCCACTACTGAACTCCATGTATTCCACGCTTTACCACTATCTCAAATTTGTCCACGGTATAGACTGTGGGACAAAAGCTCGTAGACGCGAATAATAGTACGCCATCTTTGCGTGAATGCATAGTGATTTTCGCTGATTAATCTTTGCAGGCTAGATAGCACAAGTTTTGCGACTCTATACTATTGATTTGCATAGTTGGATTCTCTAGTTGACTCAAACTGTTTACTTTGGTGCCACCTTTTCGCAGCAGCATCACCCCGCTATGGATACTGAACCAGGGCCAACTGCTAATACTGCCTCAAGCGATCCACCATCGGCAACGAATCCTTCCTCTGAAGCAACCAGAAAGAATAGCATTGGCGCCCAACCGGTTAATAATGCCAAGTCGAGTCGTCGTCCACTGCCAAGGCAAATGTCAACTATCAAGGCAGCCGATGTGCGTGCAAGATTTCGGGAAGATGTATATGGCGATCATGAACATACCATTCATAGTCACCGGAACCGTGAAAAGTCTTTCAAAATGATCCGCCATCTCAAAGAGCAGCAGATACGGCAGGTGGCATCAAACTGGTTCAAAAGGCTGCGAAAGGAGACAGCAGATCCCGCTGTTGTGCAAAACATGTCTGATCCCGCTCAAGTCCTCGCCCATAAATATGGTAAATGCGGTGATGTGCTTGGATGGGGTGCTTTTGGTACTATCCGTGCTTCCTACAAGATCGACGAGAAGAATCCGAGTAGCAAGCAAGTCTTTGCAATAAAAGAGCACAAACAGCTCGAAGGAGAATCACAGGAAAAGTACCATAGGCGCGTAGTTTCAGAATTCCGCATCTCATCATCGCTACACCACCAAAATATTCTTGCTACTTTGGATCTTCTGCAGGACGACAAGGGCGTGGAATGCCAGATTATGGAGTACTTTCCTGGGGAGGAATTGCACTCAGTTATCCTGCATGCTGGTGAACTTGAAGAGACAGAAGCTGATTGCTTCTTCAAACAGTTGATACAAGGACTAGTATATATGCATGAGATGGGCGTGGCACATCGCGACCTCAAGCCCGAGAACGTCCTCCTAACTACGAGTGGGTTAGTCAAGATCATCGACTTTGGGAATGCAGAATGTTTCCGTGCAGCCTGGGAGACAGAAGCACGCATGAGTTCTGGAGTCTGCGGCTCTTTGCCTTATATCGCTCCAGAGGAGTTTACACTCGAGGAATTTGACCCCCGCCCGCTAGACGTGTGGGCTTGCGGTATGATCTACATGGCCATGCGAACCGGGGAGAATCCGTGGCGCGCTGCAAAGCCGGAAGAAGATGCAAAATATCAGCAATACGTCACAAAGCGCAAGACAGAAGCTGGCTACGAGCCGATTGAATGTCTGAGACGTGTAAGTTACCGAGAAGTTTCAACATATTGCTCGCTGACTTGAATTTAGCGCCAATGCCGAAATGTCGTTTACTCTATCCTCGAGCCTAGTCCCATACGCCGTTTGACAGCCCACCAAGTTCGATCGTCTGAATGGGTTCAGCAGATTCCGCTTTGCTGTAGAGACACGACAAATGACTAAAGGTCGATGCAGCTGACTTTTTCCTATCGCTTTTACTAGTCTTTGCTGTTTTTTTTCGAATCATGTAAACCAAATTGAATCAATCCTCAAAATTCTGTTACATTGACACTCATTTGCTAAGTAGGCCAAGGCCACTGTTTCTAAACACTCCGCCAAACTTAAATAAAAAAATCCAAGGGATTTACAGAATCCTTTCGTTATGGGAATCGATTGATCTCCTATCCGTTCTTAGTCTGTCACGTATTCCCGATGTCACCATTTCCACCGCAGGCACCTTGCGCCCGAGAATAATAAGAATTATCCCGTACGCTTCCCAAATGTCACCGTGACAGTATTCACCGCGCGCTCAGGGGGTCTTAGATTCGTCTTACTGAACTTCCTTGCAGCCACTTTCGTTTCGAAGAGCTCGTCAAGTTCCGCGAATGTTCTACCCTTCGGTTCTGGGAGCCGGAACCAGGTCCACAAGATACCCATGATGCCTGTGCCAGCCCAAAAGAAGCCGGTTCGTGCACCCCAGCCCCACGCTGTGGGGTTGAGCATGCGCGGTGTAATGATGTTGGCGACGATGCCGGAGATGTTGTAGCAATTGCGCGCGAGAACAATAGTTTTGCTACGTAATCGCGTAGAGGGGATCTCCGATACAAGAGCGTAGCAAATAGGCCCGATCGTTGCATCGTATGTGAGAGTGAAAGCTAACAACAGCCCAGCGATGGCCCAGTTGAGTTCGTCGGGCGGTAGATCCGCGACTTGAGATGAGGGGTCGGTAGTGGAGCTGTCAACAGCGACAGTACGGCGCCCAGGTATACAGGCGAAGATGCCGATAAACGAGACAAAGATGAACGTCAGTATTTGGCCGGAAATGTAGAGGCTGCGACGCCCGAAAGCAACCATCAGACCCCAGGATACCCCGACACCGAGAAAGCCAAGCGCAAACTGGCTTAGCGATAGAGTGAAGGCAGATGAAGCCCCAAGACCAGCTTGTTCATCTATGACATGTCAGTCAACAAGTACATGGCGCTTGAGTGTGCTCAACTTACAAAAATATGTTGAGAAGCCCATAAATGAGCCACCGCATAGTGTCTGAACCAACCAAACCATACACGTAATCTCTGTTCGGCGCCTATCGATCCCTTTGAAGCAGTCTTTGTAGCTTGTCCCGCTCTGCATCTGCAGTTCCTTTTCGTTCGTCTTTACCATGTTGTGCAATGTGGCATTTATCCCAGCATCGAATTCGGCATCGGAGACGTACTTGGGCTTGGTTCGTAGGCGGCGAAGGGATTTCTTTGCATCAGCGAAGTTGTTTTGTCTGATGAGCCACCATGGAGACTCTGGGGCTAGGTAAACCGCGACGAGTATCGGTACAGGGAAAATCCACTGGAGTGCAAATGGTTTGCGGTATGCCCATGATGAGGTGTCAGCGATCATGCAGCGCAAAACAATGGAAGCGATGAGTTGTCCGAGCACCCAGCATGCATTGACATATCTGTTTCATGATCAGGTACTTGACAACAACTGTGGGAGATGTCGCATATACGTACGTTGTCAAATATGCCCGGAGAGCTACGGGACAAACGTCGGCTGCGTAAACTGTACAGATGCATTGGAACATTCCCCAGGGCACCCCCAACAGACACTGACCAGCCAGCAACACCACCTTGGTTGTAGCGTAGAATGGTATTAGTATGAAGACAGTCATCGAGACCAGTCCAACCATAAGAGTGCGTCGGTATCCAATGCACTCGGCTAGAGTGCCTGTAGCGAAGAGACCTAAAATCTGGCCTGCGAGGCCTCCGTTGACGAATGCGCCTTGCCAAGTAGCGCTGATCTCATAGTCCCCATTGGGTTGCAAGGTGCCAAAACGTTCCTTGAAAGGGCCCATGGCGAACAGGTTGGGTACTAGAATTGTGGAATATCCTTCCATGATGAGCGTCATCGACAATAACACTGACCATATGATGGCTTTTGGGTAAAGCTTAACACCCTGTCTGAGTGTCATTGAGCATTCAGCATTGTTGCTCGCCTCCATTGCGCGGTTAGAACGGTCTGTAAAGGGATTCAACGACTCTGATATCGAGACTGTCGGTGGAAAAGGTGAAGTATTTGGGGTACTGGCCAGGCTTGATGAGTCCCTGATGTGTAGACCCACGGGCTGCTGGTCAGCGTACGTGGCCTCATGTGCTGATTTCGTATCATGAGACGGCATGATGTTATCGATGTGTAAAGGGGATTGAAAAAGGGTCTTGAATTTGTGTGATGAAAGTGTGTAACCTGAGTGCAGTCAGAAGATGAGGATTGAGGCAGACCTGGGTGCCTCTCCGCACATAAAGAGTCCAGTTTTCGTAGATAGACTGCAGAAAGGTTTAGCCATCAAATAACATAAATAATATCATGTAAAGTTTAAACAAAATGGCAATGGTGTCCGGCATGGACAGTGGTCTGGTACAAAGTGTTGGGTGCGGGTTGCGTTAGATGGCGCATGAAACTAGTACACGCCTGGGTATGGGGTACATGGATGGTCTTTATACATGCGAACATTGTAGACTCAGCCGTTGATCGATTATGGAGACAGCAAATAGAATGAAGGGCGTCACAGTTTCGATAGTTTGTGGCAGCTCCGCATAGACCCAGAGAACGATTCGGGGTGCATAGAGTATCTGAACCAACTTAAGAAACTCGAGCTCCAACCGCAGCGAGTTAAAATGGTTGCTGCAGTATCCGACTGCAGTACCGTTGGTGGGTCGACTTAGAGAAGGGTTCACTTACTTGTGGGTTACTATCGTTAGGATCATCCGGGTCCACATTCTCGGATCGGCCCGCTAAGTAGTGCAATTGCTGTTCATGTGCGCTGTCCCTTACGTCACGACTGTTAGAGTTTACACAAAGGTCAAAATGCCATCATCCCATAGATCTTAGTAGAGCACTTTCATACTAATGCATAATGCAGTATTGGTTGAGGAGGAGTAGCCGTATAAGAGTGCGCTAAGCATTGATGTAAGGCGATTCACTTGGCGCATTTCGACGTACGGATCTGATTTATGGTTCCCATATCACATGTCTATTCTTCTAACACTTGTTGAATCTAGTGGAGATGCTACTGCTTTGCAGCAGCAGCTTCCTTCTCTTTCTTCTTTCGCTCGACCTCGGCCATCTTGGCAGCTTTCTTCATAGCGTTCTTGGTCATTGGCTTGCCATCGGCATCTAGCATCGGACCCCCTTCGGTATCTTCCTTTGGTTGCTCCAGCTTTGGCTTAGTAGGGTTCGGATTGCCCTCCCATTCCAACTTCCTTGGGCGGAGAAACTCGTCTAGAATCTCATCTGTGACCTTTGTCCTTGCTTCTTGGAACCTCTTAGTATATGCTGTCATGGTTTCAATGCATTCTTTCTTCATCTCGCCAGTCAGCAGCTCGCCCTTGCGGTAATCTTCGGCGAGCTTCTTGAGCTTCTCGTCGTCATCTTCAAAATAAGCGATGTATTGGTATGGTACGTCAATGTCAGGGTTTCCTCCCTTCTCGCGATGAAGCTCGAGTGTTTCTTGGCCACCCGAGAATGCCTTAGTGTTGATCTTATTCTTTACTTGCTTCGCAGTATCGCTCATGAAGATGGCTGAATTGGCATTGGACGCGCTCATTTTACCGCCGGCGCCTTGTAGTGCTGTGAGAAACTTAGAGTGAATGAGCGCGGGCTTTGGTGAAGGGTTGTCCATGCGATTGCAGTTTTCGCGGACGAGACGGAAGTACGGGTCTTGGTCAATGGCGCAGGGAATGAGACAGGGAGTCGCAGCGAGCTTCTTCGATCGGCGGTAGGTCTTGTAATCTTCACCCCAGATGAAGGGGTACGACGAAGCAAATGCAGCGACGCATTGCTTGGCAGCGAATGCGTTACTGCCGATATTTGTAGAGCCATGGAAGCCGAATGCGCCACGGACCTGGTTGTTGGTGATGAGCTTTTCAAATTCGGTCGCGTTCAGGTTGAAATGTCTGTTGTATCCCGATGTGAAGAACTCGGAGTCGATATACATGAAAGTCTTCTTTACGTCAAAGCCAATGGAGATGATGTCTTTTGCGTTTTGTCGGGCAAACTCGTAAACCTCCTCCTGCTTCAGTTTTTCCTTGAAAAGGAACTTTTCGTCGTCGGTCAACATGATAACCAATGGTACGTCGAAGACATCCTGTAGCCACTTGGTGAACTCGAAGGGGATGGTGTGGCCAATGTGCATGGCATCGCTGCTAGGACCACGGCCAGTGTATAGGAGGAAGTCTTCACCACGCTCATAGGTATCAAGAATCAAGTCCAGGTCTCGGTGAGAGAAGAACAGACCGCGCCGTAGCCAGCGATGTGGCTTGTGGCCGGTCACGCGCTCGAATCGCTCAAGGAGCGGCTGGTCAATGAGCTTTGTTGCCCACTGTTCTGAGATCTTGACATAGTCAAATTCCTTGACGTTTCCGTCCTCGTCTACCGCGGCTTGCACATCCCAAGGATTGATTTCCTGTTCAGTGGCTTTGGAAACAGGTTGCGTGGCCGTGTCGGAGATGGAGAGGGCGGCTACCGCCGGCGGCTCAGGTTCAGTCATTATGGCGATGAGACAGGGTATGTGTCGAGAAGCAGTTTCAGCGGATATAGGTTTGTAGTCGTCGAGATCAAGAGGGCCGGCGATGATTCATCACGCGTTGACTCAATGGCCAATTAATTAAAATGGCACCACCCCGCTTCAATTTGGTGTTGCCGCACCGCCTCAGCTGCCCCGCACTGCGCCACACTCCAGCCACAATATCGGAGGTGGGCAAGTCGTAGTGCCGACGAACGACCGAGCGACCGAGAGGCAAAACTGATCAGAGGCAAAGCTCCAGATGCTCCTGCCGCTTGTCGTCACACCACCATCTTCACACCACCCCGCTCGACATCGCTCCCCTGCAACGGCCTTCCCAATTGTCCATTTGCAATTGGATGCTGCTGACCATGCGACTTCGTTACCTGAGATAGACCACCGTCCGCTACAGGTTCATCTAACCTTCTACCTACCAATTACTCCACCCGCCATCTGCCTCTCCACATACACCTGTACAGGAAGCTCCAGAAGCACCAATAAGACGCCAAAATGGTCAAATTCTACTCTTCCAATGAAACTTACTCGTACCCTTTCTCGGCCGTCTCCCTTGCCTACTTTCTGCGCTATCCAAACCCTTACTCCACTCACGTGCTCTCCACCGACACCATCGCCCGCCACTATGACCCCGAGACCCAGCGCCTAACTACCATACGGCTACACCTTAAGCGCTCTAAACTTCCCTCTGCTGTGCTCAAGCTCGTCCCTCGGTCTCTGCTTGGTGCATCGGCAGGCGGCGAATCGCAGTCTTACATTCTTGAGAAGTCGGTTGTGGATATCAAGGAGGGATGGATGGACACTGAGTCCCGCAATCTTGAATGGACAGGGGTTTTATCCGTCATTGAAAGGCAGAAGTTCACTCGCCCTTCTTCGCTGACGTCTGACCACGCGAGAGTTAGGCAGGGCTCGGAAAGCCCCGCTCTACGCCACGGCTTCATCAACTTCAACAACAAGGGCAATGGCGTCAAGGTGGAAGACAATGGCGAGACAACGGATGTGACAAGCTCAGTGACGCTGCACAGTCACATTGGCGAGACGTGGAAGAAAAAGCGCGAGGCTGCTAGAGAAGGTGTTGTGGAAGAGGAACAGCCTCAGAAGATGGGCCTTTTGCGAAGCTGGGGCACCGCAGCTCTACAACGCAACATTGAAAAAATTGGGCTCTCGCGTGCGCAACGAAGTCAGCCGAACGCGCGCGAGGGCATGAAGGTTGTGCTCGAACGCATGCGCGAAGGCGGCCTAGTCGGCGTACTCGAGGGCATGCGACGGGATCGGGAAGCGATCATGGCAGGGCAGCCATTGGCCGCGCCGCGTGCAGCAGAGACAGACGAATAACTGCGTTGACATCACAAGGGAACGGTTTACGGAGTGGTCTTTTGTGTGGAAAACAACGATTTTATGGTTTTGTATGAATATCAAGCGACGGCGTACCGGTCTCTCCCTCTTTCTCTCTCTGCCATTATATCTCTTCTCTCTTTCGGTTTTGGGGCTGGTTTGGATTTGGACTTTTGATTCTGGTGGTGCCGATTTGGTATCGGTAGTCTTGGAAAAGTTGACATGAAGACGATGACGTCGGATTGTTGGACGGTTCTGTATTAAACGACAATTATTCACGGCCTTGGTTCTGTTGAAGTCGCGGTGGTGTAAAACGCACAAGTCTTAACGTTGCTTCGCCCTGTATTAAAAGCATTTTCCCAAGGAGTTTTTTTCATCCGCCATATTTTTGCAGGTGACGTTGTGAGAAGTCCACCGTAAACACTACATAATCTCTCTCATTCCAATCTCATCACTTCAACAGTACATCTTATGCGAAGAACACCCGCGTAAATCGACAAACAAGATCGACGGCGAAATTTTATCATACGCACGTTCCTGGGGAGTCGTCCGATAAGTCTCCAACTGATCTTGTCTCAACTTCGTTCGCCGCATGGCTATCATCGAATTCGTCTCCGTCTCCGTCGCGTGACGCTCGTATGTTGATGTCATCGAGCAAGTCGAGCTCGCAGACGCAGGATACGGACTGCTCGTACTGTGTATATTGCATAGCTCATACATATCTTGCTCAGCGCACGGGGATACTCCGGATGACGACTGCGCAAATATCTTGCGTGGGAAGTGTACGATGGTTGTGAGGTGGAACATTGATGATTTATCCATCTTTTCTTGATGAGTTCTCTTGGAAAGAAAAATAACTGGAAGCGGGTAGGTAGGTCCGCTACATACTCAAAATACTGCCAGTGGGATATCCGCTGTCTTTAATTATGTGCGATAGCCATTAAAACTGTGCCTTCTTCCACTTCTCGGCTACATTTTCCGAGTTTCCCACCTCTCTTTCTTCCCTACTACCAGAATCCTTTCTCTCGAAAAAAAACATAAAACCGCACTTGTAACAGGGAAAGAAAGCCACTGTATTGCTTGGGCACCCGCTTCGTGCTACATGCGCACTGTTACATTGAGCGCTTTTGCCATCCAACCCACCGTTTTTACTGCGTCGTACGGGGGCGTTTCTGGACGACTTTACGGGAGCGGGTAACGCGGACGCTATCAAGGCGCCGGTCCTTGGTTCGATTGGAATTGTGTACCAGGTAGAAGGGGTGTGGAGGGAGAGTAGGCTAGTTGGAAGGCGGGATAGTGAGAAGAGGTTGTGTATGGGTGTTAGTAGTTAGTTCCGGTTGGCCTTTTTTTCAGCTCGAAATCTCGTAATTGATCGACCTAGATTAAGGAGGTTCAAACGGCAATGAAGATTGACAAGGTTGAGTAAAGGGTATATTGTATATCAGGACTATAACCCGCTGTCATTAGCTGTCAGGTGTCACTGTCCTCAATGTATCTCTCCGTCCCCACGCGAACCTCCCGTATCCTTGCAGACACAACATGGACCTCGCCCCCCTTTCCTCGAGTCCGCACCGTATCACCCGCGGCCCAGATCCGATCGATTCGCACCTGCATGTTACACCGAAAGAAGAATGCCCTCGGTTAAGATTTGGACTTGGACTTGGAGTGTTGCACACGACTACTTTGGTGTGGTTTTCGGTGGCTTGGGGAGATAGCGGGAGTGGGGACGCGAGGATGGACGAGATGTATGGGCAGAGAGTTGTACAGTGGAGTTTCCCGTAGGGAAGGATGCGGACCGGGTGGAGGGTATAGTTGTAGGACGTGTGGAGGTGGACACAAAGGGTGCTGCGGTTGGCGCCCAGTAAATTTGGTGGAAGCTAGTTTGGATGGGCTTGGAAAGAGTGACGTTGCATAGAGATTAGAGAAAAGCAAGATAGAGGATTTGATTGCTTAGGTTTAGAGGTGGAGATTCAGATTGAATGACGTCGGGGAAAATGCTTGTGTTTCTTCTGGCAAGCCTACTTCGTCATTGTGGACTTTGATAAAGGAGAAAATTGGTCCGGACTACTAAGCACGATGAGAATAGCGCGTATGTCACCATGATCGTACGTTCAATATTCCTAGTATCGATTTGATCAATATAATGTCATGAGGGTTTGCTTGTTTGTCCTGTTCTAAAGCTTTGAAACAACACTGCTATTTTATTCGGTAGAACTCCGATCCGTCGCGATCCCATTCTGACTCCTGCGTCGGATATGCTTAATGCATGCCAGACGATCTCCGAATTCATCAGCATCGAGATCTATAAGATTTCCTTTTAGTGTCTTAGCACAAGCCATGACCTCTGTTTGTGATTGTAGCAGCCCGTCCGCCCGACACTAGCCCGTTCAAAGACCCGTTTCAGTAATACCTTAATTGTACCTACGCTAACCTTTTGCAGCAACTTCAGGCGAATCCTTCTAAGTAGATCTTTACGGGGTATTCCATGTTTCGGCCGCACTCTAATGCGACAGGTTCTACGTTGTATCGACAATATGGATTGAGCCGTGAGACAACCTGATGAAGTTCTGCATCATGTGTCGTGAACTCGTCAGAGCAACGTTCACAATGTAGGGTTGTTCCTTGGTTCCACATCATCATTGCTGTCGACGAGACTGTGCAAGTAAGAAGACTATTGATAATTGAACTCGACATAAAGTTGAGGCATATCTGGAAAACTCTGGCATGGAGGGCACATAGAGTCAGTGATTTAGACTGAATGGGATACAGCGATGGAGGTCTTCAATTATAAGATAGTAGATTATTGAATTATATTGTAAATCGTTGATTACTGGGGGGAAAACTGACAAACTATGTGAAGATAATCAAGTTTAAGTGAAACCTGAGTATAAAGAAGAAGACAGAAAGCAATGAAAGCAACCAATTTCTCATAGAAAAGAAACCAGAAGATGCATCAGTAATGTGTGTGTAGACCTTGAGTGGAGGTGCTGATAAAAGCACCAATCGTGCTTGGTTCGGCAAACATTTCCAAGTAAATTCCACCTCACCTCCAAATCCATCTTCATGATCAGTCCTTGATGGCAGGCATTGGGGACACAGTACGAACTCTTTCATCCTCATGCTTGATCTCGGCATGGTCAAGTAGACCTTCTGCAACTTGCTCTTGATATTCCAGCATTGCCTCAACGATCTGCAAAGCCATGCTGTGGCTGACCACGTCCTTGATCTCAGTCCACAGTGCTGCGTTGAGGTTGGTGGCCAGGGTGTTGACGACCATCTCTCGAAGCCTCTTCGGTGTGTCATTATCCTTGAATGCATGCTTGAATACTACTTCCATGACGCGATCACCTGGATCAGGCCCGTATCCCAACAGGGTTTTGAGCGATATGCCGTTGGCTAAGGCGTCTTGGATCCTATCATTGGCGGCATTGTACAGCTTGGAGTGACAAGACTCACCCAGGGCCTTGACGCCCAGTCGTGTGGCGAGCTGTAGCGTGTCGTAGAGCTCTTGCGGGTCTTCGCAGTCCAGTTTTCCTTTGTAGATCCAACCCATTACCGATTGAATAGTAGCTGGCTCCGCTTCTGGTAGAAGGATGCGTTTCTGAGCTGCAGCTCGCACAACATCGTCTTTGGCTTTATCAAATTCCCTCTTGTTGATTCGGTGGATTCCAGCAAATAGTTTCTCTGTGATTGCGTGCAAACCGAAGGCATTGATGTAGGTTAGACGTACTTTTGTATTTTCTTCCCGAATGGCGTCGTGTAGCATGCGTGTCTTGACACGCTTCAACTGCACCTCTGTTCCCGTTGCATCGTCGATCAGTCTCTTGATAGCCTGTCCGTAGCCAGGCATAGGGAATCTCTCATGCGCGCGAATAATGAGAGGCAGTGCCTACAGTCACTTTAATATGGTGTCTTCAAACTGATGCCGGATCGAACGGACTTTGTCCGTAATGTCAATGATAACTACGGGGTCCGTTCTTTCTAACTTGTCTCGGGAAGCTTACCTTTTCTTCGTGATCTCCAGCTGAAAAATCCTCTGCAGTGACCTCTGGGAAGACATGTGCTGCGATCTGGTCACGAAGGTGATCGATCTGTTCAAACTGCTTTCTCAGAATCTTGGCCTTGGTGAAGCGATCCTGGAGGAGTTCGCTATGGCAACGCAGGAGCTCTTCATGAATAGTAAGCTTGATAGAGAGATCTGGACCACACTCGATTTCGACGGGAGTCTGCATGAGCATCCTAGAAGCAGTGTTAGCAACTGAGCATCGAAGCACAACTATATACTCACTGGTGCGGCTTGAATGGTTTTAGTTGGGGGCTAGGTGACGAAATAACGATCGGGTTAGAGGTCTCGCCGATGCTGGCGCGTCTCTCCGAGGAACCGGGAGGTGTAGTATAGGGCGTAGTCATCATGTCTTGGCCGATTGAGCGACCTTTCTGGTGGATGTTGGAGGAGAAGAGAAGGGAGATATAGGTATGGGTGAGATCTATATAGGCAGTATCGATGGCCTGTATCTGACATCGTCTCTCACCTGGAGAAACAAAGGCACAGGGACAGGGTAGCAGAGGTGAGAGAGAGGCAAACGCCACTGATATAGTGAATTTTGGTGGATAACCAGGTTTATATTAGGCTTCCAACTGGACTTGTCCATAAGCTGTCTATCTAAATTTGTTATAGCAACAAGGTGAAGGGTGTTGGAAATGTCATCGACGGTCGAATGAGTGTCAATGTGTAGTGAAGGTAGTCCATGCTGGTTGCAGACGGTGAATTTTGTAGAGGAAGATATGGAAATCATGGATAGCACGGAAATGATGGATTCAGGGCGGTGCTACGTGAGTGGTGTGTAAAGTGTAGGGGCATGGGGGAGGAGAGCAATGACGATGTTGAGGAGCGGCGCACGGGCGCTGCCCCGCCGCGATGGTGTTTGGTGAGTGTCGACACCACAACCAGACAACGCGCCACCATGGCCAAACTCCACCGTGAGCGCGTCGAACACGCGTTGAACGAATTGCTGGTGCGCATAGTACCCGAGGATCCCAACGATGATGAAGAGGCCGCCAACCAGCGCTTCGAAGACGCGTTTGAGTTTGCCATTGACGAACTCACGTCGGCAGGAGATCCCGCCCTGGTCCCAGATGTCCACCACATCGCCAGCCTGATGGACCGTAAGGGTGAGTGATGGTGCTGCGTTCTATGTGGTGAATTATGAAAATAAAAAACGCATCACTAACATAGAACAGTCTCGGGCCCACGCAACGATCAGCACAAGAGCGCCCGTCTGCATAATTTGCTCTCACGCCTCGAGACACAGACAGTGCTGGACCAGAAATGGAGAATGCTTTACTTCCTGTACAAGCTCTCAGATAATGGCGAGCCAGTTCCAGATGCGCCTGTCGCCCAGGACCTGCGCAGCTTTCCCCGAGAGCCTACTACGCCTTCCAAGCGCGCCTCTGCTCCAGCATTCCAGGACGCCTTTGCAAAGCCCGGCCTTGCTCAGCTACCCATCAATGCCGGCTCGCCCAAAGCACCTTCACGCCCACCGACGATTGTCGAAAAGCCAGAGAAACGGCGCGAGAGACGCTCCCAAGATACTACCAAAGAGCAGCAGGCCAAAACAGCCAACTCCGCCGAAAAGCCAGAATTGGGCCCTTCAGAACCGACCCTATTACGCGAGCTCCCTTTCACGTTACAGGGCTACTCATCTGCCAATCTGACATTCCCTTCTTCGACGGCCCTCAAACTTCCACCGACGCTCCCTGTGCCCCTTATCAGCCTCCTGCATACCCTCGCTGAGCCCGCTATTTTGTACAAAGGACTTGCTGAGTTTGTCGATGAGAGCCAGGGTGGCCTGATAGAGCAGAGTTTCCGCGCAGCTTTAGCTAAGGAGCTGAGGGCGTACCTCGGGTTGGTTGCTACGCTCGAAGGCCAGATCAAGAGGGCCTTGGCACAGCTCGGTGAGGGCTCAGCGCACCAGGGCGCCAGCAAGGCCGGAGTCACTCTCAAGCGGTGTGTCATATGGATCAGAGAGCCGACAATGGGCCTGCGACTCATGAGCCTGATGGTAGAAGAATCAAAGAAGAAGAAAGGCGGCGAGCTGATTGCACTCATCCATTCCTTCTCCCTCAACCACGGCGACCCCTACGTCATGAACTTTGCCGAGCGCCTTCTTTCCGATGTCACCCGTCCATTCTATGACATGCTGAGGCAGTGGGTCTACGATGGCGAGCTGGCTGATCCATTTGCAGAATTCTTCGTCTCTGAGCAGAGCGAAGACGAGATTCTCGAAGCAAATGGCAACGAAGGCAAGGGTGGAGCTACAAGTGTATGGGAAGATAAGTACAGACTCAACGACAAGATGGTTCCTACCATTGTCACTGAGGACTTTGCAAAAAAGGTCTTCCTCATCGGCAAGACACTAAACTTTATTCGCTATGGCTGCGGAGATGCAGCATGGGTTGACACATACTCTAAAAAGGCTTCCAAGGAGCTTCAATACGGCGATACCGCAAATCTGGAGAGATCCATCGGCGACGCCTACAAGACCACCATGGCTCGTCTGATTGATCTCATGGCGAACAAGTTCAAGCTATTTGACCATTTGCAAGCACTGAAAAAGTACATGTTGCTTGGCGCTGGTGACTTCATTGCCGTACTCATGGAATCACTCTCGTCAAATCTCGATAGACCTGCCAACACCCAGTACCGACACACGCTCACTGCTCAGCTTGAACACGCTGTCAGAAACTCCAACGCACAATTCGACACGTCAGATGTTCTTCGCCGACTCGACTCTCGCATGTTGGAGCTGTCGCATGGCGAGATTGGATGGGACGTCTTCACGCTCGAGTACAAGATCGATGCTCCTGTAGATGTCATTGTGACTCCATTTGGGTCCAAGCAATATCTCAAAGTCTTCAACTTCCTATGGAGAGTAAAGCGTGTCGAGTTCGCCCTTGGTTCTACATGGCGTCGCTGCATGACCGGTGCGCGTGGCGTTTTGGGCACTGTATCAGACAAGATGGGCTCTGACTGGAAGAAAGCGCGCTGCGCTATGGCCGAGATGGTCCACTTTGTCAACCAGCTTCAGCACTACATTCTTTTTGAGGTTATTGAGTCTTCGTGGATTGATTTGCAAAGAGCACTCAACAAGCCAGAAAGCACACTCGATGACATGATCGAAGCCCACGCAAGGTACCTCGACAACATTACCAGGAAAGGTCTCCTTGGAAGCACTACTACGGATTTCACGGCGCAATTGCACGAGCTGCTAAAAACCATGCTAGCATACAAAGACGCGGTAGATGGATTGTACTCGTGCTCAGTTGCAGAGTTTACTCGAAGACAAGAACATGCTGCTAAGATTGAGACGCGAACCGCAGCCGGCAGGTGGGGTCTCTCTGAAAAGGACAACCACGGTAGCTCGACTCCAGATCCTTTTGCGCGATCGCGTGCAGCTTCTACCAACCAGGATGCAGATTCACCTTTCCCGCCACCATTGCTGAAAATGGGTATGACTGGGTCTGTCGAAGATGACGTACTACCAGCACTTCAAAAGCGCTTAAGTCATCTGGCTGAGGACTTCAAGGCCAGGATCAACCTTCTTCTCGGTGACCTGGTGCACTCCCCCGATGGCGAGCTTAAAATGCTGGCTGTTAATATTAATTTCAACGATGTATACAAGGTTGAGCGAAGACGAAGGAAAGGGTCCCAAAAACGCGACAAGGACAGAGAGACTTCCAAAGGTGACATTTCTGCAGCATGAGTGTTGGTGTAATTTGCGGCGTTTAGCACGACATTGATACCCCATGTGCTTTGCTAGGAAGTTACTACGTCTGACATTTCTCTAATTTCAACTTTTCTACTTCCCCTACCACATTTCACTTCCTTGGATTCAAACTCAGAAAGATGGAGTACATTATTCTACATGCCTTCAAACAAAGTCGACTAATCATAGTGATCATTCGTGATGCTAAATGACATCATACAGGCAATACGCTATAGGCACTTGGAGAAGAGGAAAAATAATTCAGTCACAAATATCCTTCTTGCATTCCCCACGCTAGTTTTTGATGTAGGGAATGCCAGTCAACTTGAACGTCCGCTCATTCATGACTGGCTTGTTGACGGGCTCGAAGCGGTTGTGCGGGTCTTCCACCCCATCCCTTGTGGCAACATTGGAACCAGTATGCATCGCATTCGGCCAATGAGTTGTGCCAACCCACCTCTCATACGCATCCTTCTTGCGAACCAAGTCCTCCTGCGAAGCATTCGCCACAGGCATATAGCACGTGTATATCGCGAATCTTGGTTGCTGAGTCTTCGAGGCCAGGTTGTAATGCGGCGTGCGGCTATCCCAGACGAGTAGATCGCCTGGGTCCGCGCAGACTTTGGTCCATGTGAGACCTTTGTCTGCGAGCCACTTCATGCCGTTTTCTGTAAAGCCGAACCATTCGGGTGTCCACGCTGGGATACGTGGCTCGTCTTTCATAGCGGCGTGAAATTCCTCAGAGAGCAAATGGCCACCGGGACAAACGATGAGACCGCCATCGTCTGGGCCGTTGGGAAGCAAGTTGACGAGACCCTGTAGACAGCGGAATCCGGCCTTTTCTGGGTTCTGGTCTTGGTGTGGCCACGGCTTGTTGGGGGCAATATCTGTGCGGCCGGGAAAAGTAAAGTTGATCGCATCGAAGGAGACGATGAGGTCTTTGTCGTTGTATACCTTCTCAAAAGCACTGACGACGCCTGGTTCGCCGCGGATGTCCCAAGCAAAGTCCTCGTGTGTGACGGCGTAGTGGATGCACATGCCCTTTTCGTTGATGAGCGGTAGCTTGTCCTTGTGTGCTGTGGACAGATCATTGCGGTCGAATCCGAGGTCACTAATGCAGTCTCATTAGTATATGGATGAGTAAGGAAGGCGGGTTTCTGAAGAACTTACAAGCCTTCTAGCCATGAGAACATGCGGTCTGCGTATTTCAACGCCCTTTCTTGGGGAATAGCTCCTTTGATGACAGCATAGCCGTCCCGTGCGAGGTCATCTCGCCAGTCTCCAAATTTGGCATCTGTGCCATCCATCTTCATGGGCACATTTTGAACGCCGCTCAAGGTGAGGGTTGGTGCCTTGGTCGTGGTCGTGATCATGATGAACTTAGATGAGATGAGATGTAGGTGCAAATGGAGCTTTTGTCGTCCCAAAGCGGTAAGTTTTGATTTTGGTAAATTGTTGCTTAGCTTTGGTCGGTCTTATCGCTTTTATCTTTCAATTGCAACCACCTCGTGCTGGCTGTGCATGATGAGGCTCACGCCACGCCCACGGCTCCACCCCCACATGTTCCGATGGATAATAGTTTCGGATGTCAACCGTTCCGAAGTCCACCCCAACTATTCCTAACCGTGTGCTGATCATGCAACTATACTCTAATCTTGTTAATCCTGGAAGCAACTAACCCTCGGCTTCTTGATGGAATATGTATGTATGTCAACATTCGTAATGTGGAGGTGGGCGTACGTATGATCTCTCGGCATAACAACTTCAAGTTCATCATGTCAATCCTATCTTGACCATTCTTTTTCTACCTAATTCTGTCTTTTCTATTATTTTGTCTCATCATGGCTTCACAAACACCTCTTCGGATCGTCATCGTTGGCAGTGGCATCGCAGGACTAGCATCTGCTATTGCCTTACGAGGCCCGAATCGCGAGATCACCATTCTTGAACAATCACGACTGTCGTCAGAGATTGGCGCAACGATTTCTCTTCAGCCAAATGCGACACGCATTATAAAGGAAACATGGGGCGTCAACGATCTCTTGGAAGCTTCAAATGGCATGGTGGATAGTGGATTCCGTATCTTTAATTCGGATGGCAAAATGGTTAACGAAATTCCGTTGCTCGTACAAAAGAAATATGGAGCTGACCGCATCATGTGGCATCGACAAGACTTGCATGCACAACTCACCAAGGTCGTCAAAGACCCTGTGAGAAGTGGACCAGTTCCTGTATTGCAGACCTCTTCCCGTGTTGTCGACTGCGATTGCGAGGCGGGACTCATCAAGTTAGAAGGTGGAGAAAAAATTCAAGCAGATATCATCATCGGCGCCGACGGCATACACAGCGTTTTGCGACCTCTAGTAGCAGGAGAGGAAACCAAGCCCAAGCCTACAGGCACTTCATGCTATCGACTCATGATGACTTCACAAGAAATCCGAGAAAAAGCACCAGAATTCGCAGCCCACATCAATCCCTCCGAGCCTTACACATCAATGTTCATGGCCCACAACTGCCGCCTCATTATGGGCCCCGCCCGCAACGGCGAAATATTCAGCGTCGTTGCTCTCGTCCCTGACGACAAAATGAACGAAGACCCCGACAAAGCACAATCATGGGTGACAGAAGGCGACCCACAAAAGATGCTCGAGACGTTCAAAGACTTTCCAGAATGGACTAAAGACATGCTCAAGCTCCCCGACCGCATCGGTCTCTGGCAACTTCGCGACATCGATCCGCTGGATACCTGGGTCCGCGGCCGCGTCATCCTCATCGGCGACGCAGCACACGCCATGCTACCCACGCAGGGTCAAGGCGCGAGTCAGGCGATCGAGGATGCAGAGGCTCTTGGTGCATATCTTAACACTCTAAAAGGGCTACCAGCCAAGTCAGAAGAGATAACGGCATGCTTGAACCAGGTGTTTGAAGCGCGATATGAGCGTGCGAGTTTGATCCAGAAGTTCAGTCGTGACTCGGCGAAGCCGGCGACGGAGAAGGGGAGTAGCGAGATTAAGATGCGACCGGATGAGTTTATGGATTATAATTTCCAGTATAAGGGGGCGGTGGAGTGGCAGAAGTCGAGGGCTGTTAGTTCGACTGCATGAGTGGCGTGTTGAGCTTTCCTTCAATACTACTTGCTACTACGTACTACTACTAGTTGAGATCATGAGGGAGTATTTTTGCCCACGTCCCGAAGCACTTCGTTTCTAGTTACTATGCCCGCATATTCCGTGCCCACCACCCTTCTATCCTTCGCCACTTCGGTTGTTCTGCTCACCAGTGAAAATCTACCGAACGATTCGTCAACTTCCGATGTGGGCAGCTAGCGTGTCGGGAGGTGAGCGCTAGTACTTGTATCACCCATGTAGACTTCTGCTCGAGCCCTTAGTACTAATAATCTTCCCCATATATTTCTCCTTGTTGCAGGCCAAACAACCTGAACTCCATTGGTCAGTTCAACTTCACCCCGCATCATCGGCATTTCTAAATGCGAGGACATGATTCACGACTCGGGCACCTATCCTCCGATCTTCATAGTAAAGGGAAAGTTCCCTTTCACATCCCCGTACTCGCCCGTTTCACATCGCAGACAAGTCTAGCCCTCTGCCACTTGCAGCGGAATGTGGAGAAGTACGTGTATTGTGGCTCCATACTCCTCGAGGATGGCAGCCTCTGGATTCAGCTGCAGGCTGGGTGGGGGGATGACTGGCTAGGTTAAGCATAAGGGCGTGTCCGCCTGTTCTTCGCATTGTCCTCAGCATAAATACTAAGTGAAACTCGATTATTCGAGTGTCATCCATCCAAGATGGCTGAATCAAACCCACACGACTCGCTGGACCACAAACTCGATGCCGAAATCAACTACACAGAAGATATTCAAACTTCCAAAGACGATGGCCACTCACACGTCAAAGGCAACGCCTTCCTCGTCCGTGAAGACGGCCAAGTCCGTAAAATCCCCGTCCCCTCATCCAACCCCAACGATCCACTTAACTTCTCTCGCTGGGAAAAATACGGCATCATATTCTGTTGCTGCTGGTTCTCCATCATGGGTCTTTCGATTGCCGGCGGTCTCGGCGCCATCTTGAATGTATTTTTCGACATGTATAGTCCGCAGGGGTATACGGCTGATGAGATTGTGTTTTTGATTACACTGCCGACGCTATGCATTGGACTAGGTAAAGTAATTCTCAAACCCCAAAGACACTGATTTTACAGAATCTGACGTGGGACAGGAAACTACATCATCCTGCCGTTAGGATTAGCATACGGTCGTCGTCCGGTTTTCCTCATTTCCATGGTAATTTTGTTCGTGGCTACTATCGCCGCTGCTGTGCAAAATAGTTACAATGGCCATCTTGCATCGCGTATCGTACAGGGTCTCGCAACGGGCTCATCCGAATCCCTGCTCCCGCTCATGCTTACAGAAATCACCTTCTTGCACGAGCGCGGCCGGATTTTCGGGTTATACTGGACGGTTCAGAATGCGCTTAGCTCTTCTATCAACCTGGCGAGTACTTATCTGAATGAGGATATGGGGTGGCGGTGGTACTACTGGGTTTTCGTCATCACAATCGGGTTTGGACTCGTAATTGCGTTTTTGCTGGCCTTTGAAACGCAATTCACGCGGTCGCCGGCTAGTTTGGATGGTTTACTGATTTTCACGGATGAATTTGGGGTTACCAAGGTTATCCCGGATGAAGAGGCGCAGGATTACTTTGCGCGGGTGGGCGATGCAGGGTTGAGCGTACCCGTTGCAGACGCGAATGAGGCCGATGTACCACGGAAGACGTACCTTCAGAAGCTGCGACCCTGGTCACCGGTTCAGAAACAGCCGGTTAAGATTATGGTTATGACGTATCTGCATATGCTGCAGAGTCTGGCCTCCCCAGGTATCCTGTTTGCCATCCTGAGTTCATCGGTTGCCCTTGGCTGCAGCGTTGGCATGTCGCTGACGTACAACGCCGTGTTAAACGAGAACTACGGATGGGATGTCAAGAACATTGGGCTTATAAACGTCGGTGGTGTCATTGGCGCCGTGTTCGGAATGGTGTATTGCACATTCATCGGCGATAAGTTCGTTCTCTACGCTGCGCGACAAAACAAAGGCATTCACAAACCGGAACACCATCTCATTGTTCTCATCCCACCAGGCATAGTCGGTGCCGCAATGCTGGTTCTCTACGGCTTCACTGCCGGAGGCGGTGCAACTTGGTGGGGTCCATACATGGCGTGGACACTGTTCCAATACACGTTTACTGCCGTACTCATCGTGTCTACGACGTTTGCGTCTGAGGCTGGGGCGCAGCATCCCGGGCCTGCGCTGGTTGTTGTTGTGGGGACCAAGAATATTGTTTCCTTTGGTCTTACGTATGGACTCACGCCCATGGTTGCAAAGCATGGATACAAGTGGGCGTTTGGTGTGTTGGCGGGTATTTTCAGTGCCATTTTCCTGCTCGGTATTCCTGTTTATTATTTGAACCCGATGTGGCGCGCAAGGAGCAAAAAGAACTAGCGAAGAGTGACAGTTGTTTTGAGTTATGACCAGGCCAATACGGCTAATGGATGCGTTATGAGTGTATCATATTTTGTCGAAGGAATCGGGAAATCCCTTCAGCTTAGACGTGAAAAGAGTGTTGTTGATAGATACCTCACTGAATCTGAATTCTTCACCCGTCCAATTTAATGGATATCATAATAACGGCCTGAAAACGCCCTTCTGCTCATCCGAAATCTCTGAAATGAGACTGTCAATCTCCACACCCCTCTTCTTCAGATTCCTATCACTTGCTGCTCTCGTACTCCGCGCACCACTCAACTTCGATTCCACAAATTCACTTTAAGAGTAGTTACAGCCAAATATCTCTTAGCATGGGGCGCCACAGATCTTCACTCAGATAACTTTCATATCTAGATATTGTCAAGACCACAAGTCTCTGCAGCCAAAAGAGCAACACCATCTTCTACTCCACCACTTTCCCGTAACCAAAACCTCTTACCCCGTTACTCACCCATACACCCTCGCCCACCTCCACAGTTTCAATACTAACGGGCTCCTCCATACAATACCCATTTCCGAGTGCCCATCTCCTACTCGTACCCCTCTGACCTCCAGCACCGACTTTGGCACTCCTCGTTGAATGGCCCCATCGACCAGCAAACGGTTTTCTCAGCTCTCCTTCATCGGCGCCATCGTCTTTCAACGTCTTGCTAGTGAACTCGCCGGATGGCACGCCAACAGGAGGAGTTACCCAGCGGCCGCCACGGAAAAGGTAAAGTGATGTGAGAGTACCCTCAGTAAGCTCATTGACTTCGTTGTAGAGCATGACTTCACGGTAAGCGGGACCTGCGGGATTCTCAGGTAGAGCACGCTCGCGGCTTTGGTCGTACATTTCTCGCTTTGTCGTTTTCAAGAGGGTGAATGGGGAAGATGGGGTGGGTGCAGTGTCTAGCCTGATTGTCCATTCTGGTGGGGGCGGGGGTGTCGATGTTGGTGCCGGAAGCGAATCTTCGGGACCAAGGGTCAGGGCGCCTCCTGTCAGCGGAGATGCTTTGAAAGCTGCTGCAGAGGTGTGCTGCACTTTTGCATTTGGTGGGTCTAGTGATGGAGGGTAGAGAGTAGAAAGTGGCACGGTTGGCACGTCTGTGAACTCGACTGTAAGATTTGCTGCCTTGTCGAACAGCAGTCGCAGCTGGGTAGCGTCAATATTTTTCTCATGTGATGTCTTGGTATCATACCTTCATTGCTCGGTCCTTTCCAGTCTTTTCTATCTCAGCCTTGGTTCTTTTCAACAACTCTTCATGCAGAGCTTTACCATCCTCAAGCCGTTTCTGTACTTCATCAAAATCAAAGTGCTGTGCTGCTTCGACCATCCGGTCTCGATGATATGCAAGCATATAGAATGGCGATGGGGCGACAAAGTTTAGAATCGAGCGCGAGTTCTCCTCGGACTTGAGAAGTAGTGGATCGTAACGCAGTGATGTGAAGAGTTGGAACTCGTTTTCAGATGCCATTTTGAGATGCAGATTTGTTGTAGGGAGCGGTTATCATAATATAGTGGGATTGCTCTATGACTGTTGCGAGGATGCGGAATGTCGAAGATGCGTTGTACACTATTAAAAATGGGTCTGAACGCCAGTCGTCCAATCAGTAGTGAGCGGCATCTCACTTAGTAGCCACCGTCGGAGTCAACTGCGGCAGCGATTCCGTGCACCTTCAAGTCACAGTCCAGCACACAGCGATACCCAATTCTGTATCGTAGGAACAAATCATTGGATGCCCTCCAGCTCTAGGGAATGCTGTGGCTCCCCCCATCGGTCGAACAAACGGCTTAGTCGAGTCCACCGCATCCTCATACTGATCGGGCCCACCCGCACCGATTCTTAGACCAAGCGATAGCCGAATTCTGGTCGGCTCTCCTGCTCTTCGAAGGGGAACACAATGTGATAGGAAAGATACAGATTGTGGTAGAGAGCGGTCGTCAACGTAACTAAAGCCTGCGATGCGGCAAGTGTGTTTAACTGAGCACTATTAGTGAGGCGTGATCGTTGCAACCGCAAAAGTAGATATACAGCTGTTGTACCATCAAACAATTATCATCTCTTAGTATGAGCACTGCGATATTTAGGGCTGTAGAGAGGTGTTCTACCTCGGTGCTCTAGTTCGACCTATGAGGGTCGTGAGGGGTCTTGGATTGTTCGTGTTCGCAGGGGATAAGTATTACTAGAACCCTGGATATTACGCATAGGAAGACCCTACGTACATATTCTAAACCTATCTCACTACGCTACAGCATTGCAATGTTCAGTTATATCTACGAATGATCGCCACTGGCGCAAGACCATGTCTAGAGCAGGTCGGTCACCCTCTGTACTAGCGTCTATGGGATGTTTATGCATGTCATTTAGATGTAGGTATGTTGGTCTCACTGCGCCACAGTCTGGGCTGTCCAACTATCCACATCTCACATGCGACTTCAGCCTGATCCATCTCCACCTCAATTAATAAGAACACACAGCAGCAGCGTAGCCTAATCTCTTTCTCGAGGTAATTCTTTGGCATGTTATCATCTTGTATGCTCATGGTGTTCGCTAAACGGATAGCTAGGTGCGAGCCTGATCAGGCAACCGAGTTCGGCGTCCGTGATTCTGGACATACTTTTGCCTTCTTCCAACGTATTATCTTTCCATCGGAGGAGTGGCGCCGCATTTGAAGAATATGGTACGATTCGCTTATGAACCCCTTCGGTCTAGTCGAGCGATTAGGTTGATCAAGTTTCTACCCGGTTCCAGCCCAATCTGCCAGATGATCACAGTCGAGGTTGAGAAAGCCCCGCCATATGTAGCTCTGTCGTATACTTGGGGAAGCACGGAATTATCGAGAGTGATCCTCGTCAATGGAAGTGAGGTTCCCATCACTCGGAGCCTGGCTGAGGCCATTGATGCCATTTTCATCTTTGCAAGAGAACGAAGTATGATGTTCTGGGCAGATTCGATTTGCATTAATCAGGCAGACGATCATGAGCGCGGCCGGCAAGTCCGACTCATGAATTCAATTTACCGTTCGGCGGAGATCGTTACAATTTGGCTTGGCCCAGCTGTACATGAAAGCGATCTCGCATTCAATAAAATGAAGGAATGGAAGGCGAGACTCGACAGACTAAAAGAAAAGTTCAATGGCTCCGAGGAGTTGGCAATCGCAAGCATCTCTCCGAATGACGATTTCTATCTTGGTCCACGTGGCTCGGAACAACACAAGGCACTGGAGGCATTACGCATGCTATATCGTCGGCCTTGGTGGGGAAGAGCATGGATTGTACAGGAGGGAACTGTTGCCAATCCTGCTCGCACGATACTATTTTGCGGAAGTCGTAGCATTGATTGGACCCATTTACGAGCAGCCCTTCGGATCCACGGTCATATCACACACTATCTACGCTTTAGTATGGATATGTCTATTGATTTCAGTGATGCCATGGCCAACCGTCTGGATACTTTTCGATCTGATAGGGAAAATGGAGCGAACATTCGATTGTTGGAAGTGCTTCGAAATATTCGAGCATACGAGTGTGGAGATCCTCGTGACAAGGTATATGCCGCTCTAGGAATGGCCATGGACGTGAACGAGGATGATATCACTCCAGACTACACAAAGTCGGTCTCAGCAGTCTACATTGATGTCGTCAAGTTTTGCATATCAAAACCAAACAACCATTGCCTAGATTTCCTAGGAGCGGTACTCAGATCAGCGCCAGGAACTGTATTCGATCACCAACATGAGAGGGCACTACCGTCCTGGACACCAGATTGGACTTTGCGAGGATCCTTCCATCCACTTGAAAAGTTGTTAGACTCGGATACGTATGGAGCAAGTCACAACGCCTATAACGCTAGCAAAGGGCTCAAGGGGCAATGCTACATCGATGGGGCGCATTTATGTGTCCAGGGGTCAGTGCTTGATCACATCATTCGAGTATCAAGTGTATGCGAGGGGAATCTAGTTGATGGAGGGCTTGACACTCAACGATCATGGGTACCAGCAGACCCCAGCAACCAATATTTCACCGGAGAGACGGTAATGGAAGCTTTCAATCACACTATAGTGACTGATATAGGTCGACGAAACCTCAAACAAGGTTTTGAGTTGTCACGAGGATTCACCTTCAGTTGGGAGTTAGCCAATCGGGATAGGAACAAAATGTCTGCTGAAGATCGTCAAATTCAGAGCTGGATGCTTATTGATGCAAATGTAATGACATTTGGGAGAAGACTGTTTGAAACAAGTCGAGGCTTTATGGGATTGGGACCAGCAGCCGCCCAGGTAGATGACCAAGTTTGCCTTCTGCTAGGTGGACAAGTTCTCTACGTGTTGAGGGATCGTGAGGATAATCACTATGAGTTTGTCGGTGAGTGTTATGTGCATGGTATGATGGACGGTCAAGCTTGTGAGGACGAATCATACGCAATTAGGGATATCGTACTCGTGTAACTGAGGGGTAGAAATCCCATTTGCTCTAGCAGATTATATCACAAGACGATCGTCCCAATCCATTCTAGGCAACCTTTCTGTTTTCGTGGAAATGATAGTATTTGACGGTAGAAGTAATTACAGAAGTACGAGACTAAAAGTGTTGCGATTGAACCGAAAGCAAAACCACTGTTAGTTATTAAAATTGTGGACATTCATGAACTGGGTTCTATAGCTTGACTTTGGAGATGCGATCGAGTAGTTTGGGTATCAAAGGGAACTTTCAGAGATTTTAGACTTGACGTAGACACTCAAGAAACCTGCGAGGATCTGCGTGAACTTTTGGCGCCACCAGACCCATGAAGAACTGGCGGGGACTTTTCAGTGCAAACTGTCAGCGGCAACGTTGACTTGTCACGGAAAACAATATCCTATCTAAGAGAGATCTCATGTCAACTACCTTGATATGAAGATGATATACTCAATATGTACGTCCATATATGCATACTAAAAAGGAACAATGATCTGTGGCGGTGCAGACAACGGCTGGTCGGCAAGGCTGATGACGTCCGCCTGGCGCTCGAGCCACACACCTCGCTCACGTCGTTGCACCAAAGCTTGCCTTAGCCAAATTTCTGCGACAACAGAACGGCCCAACACACACCAGCCCATCGCCATTGAGCTGCCATTTCTACTCCCGCCAGTACTGCATCTGCTCAACACAATTATCCGAGTACACCAGATATGGCGCCTGTAAATGCACCTGTGCCACAGGGCCCTGGCCCATTCCCCGTCCAGATTCCCGTCGACAGCAACAACTCGCTCTGGGACCGACTGTCAAATTGGGCCTCGGAAAACAAGGGTGTTGTATACACAATTGCCGGAATCACGCTGGTCGTGGGCGCTGGTGGCGTTGTATACTACTTCTCAAATGATTCAAAAGGCGACAGCGGAGCAGACACATCGGCCGCCAAGCGCAAGAGGCAACGCGAACGCAAGCGTGCAAAAGAAAGGGCTGAGAAAGAGTCGACCCCCGAAAAGGGCTCTGGTATGTGCTTCATTGCTGCTTGTGGCGGAGCATAAACTGATGCAACAACAGAGAAGAAGGCAACAGTAGCCGAGACCACCGAAGACCAGCTCCCCGATGTCGACGAGAACAGCGTCGCTGCACTTTCAGACGAGGTATGGCAGAGAATATCGTACCGAGGCATCTGGACACGCGGACTCCGTCATGTTCCTTTTGGCATTTGCTACTAGCGGCAGTCAATGGATCGTCCCAACTGCATAAGGTCATGGCGGGGTCAACTTGTGCCAGCCACGCACTCTAAACACTATCTTGGTTGCTTCGAGAATATATGCTGACTTTTCATAGGAGCGCAAAGAGTATGCTGCCAAGCTCAAGGCAGCAGGCAACAAGGCCTACGGCTCCAAAGACTACAACCGCGCGATCGACCTCTACGGAAAGGCCATTCTCTGTAAACAAGATCCTGTCTTCTACTCCAACCGCGCCGCCTGCTACAATGCCATGTCGGAGTGGGAAAAGGTCATTGACGACACTACTGCCGCTATCAACCTCGACAACGAATACGTCAAGGCCTTGAACCGGAGAGCGAATGCATACGAACAAGTTGAGCGCAACAGCGAAGCCCTTTTGGACTACACCGCGAGCTGCATCATCGATGGGTTCCGCAATGAGAACAGTGCACAGAGTGTTGAACGTTTACTGAAGAAGGTTGCTGAAGCAAAGGGCAAGGCTATCCTGGCCGCAAAGGAGAAGAAACTGCCCAGCCCAACCTTCGTCACAAACTATCTGCAGAGCTTCCGACCAAAGCCAACCCCAGAAGGCCTCGAGGACGACGCCGAACTCGATGAGGAGAGTGGCAAGGGCCAATTGCGCAAGGGTCTCAAGGCCATGGCTACTAAGACTGGCGATGGATACACCGAGGCTGCTGCTGCCTTTGACCGTGCCCTCGAACTCGGTGATCTCGGAGAACACGAGGCGTTTGCGTACAACATGCGCGGAACCTTCAGCTACCTTAAAGGTGACAACGAAGATGCGCTCAAAGACATGGACAAGAGCATCGAGCTCCAGCCCACACTAACGCAGAGTTTCATCAAGCGCGCCAGCATGCACCTCGAGCTTGCGAACCCAGAGGCTGCCGAAGCTGACTTTGCCGCTGCGCTCGAGCAAAACGCAAACGACCCAGATATTTTCTACCACCGCGCACAACTGCACTTTATCAAGTCCGAGTTTGGCGAGGCCGCTAAGGACTACCAAAAGTCGATCGACCTGGACAAGGACTTCATTTTCTCGCACATTCAACTCGGTGTTACACAGTACAAGATGGGTAGCATCGCCTCGTCAATGGCCACTTTCCGCCGCTGTATGAAGAACTTTTCCCAGGTGCCCGATGTATACAACTACTACGGTGAACTACTTCTCGACCAGCAAAAGTACCAAGAGGCTATTGAGAAGTTCGACACTGCCGTTGAGATGGAGAAGACGACCAAACCCCTTGGCATGAACGTCCTGCCTCTTATCAACAAGGCCCTTGCACTTTTCCAATGGAAGAACGACTTCGACGAAGCCGAGAAGCTATGCGAGAAGGCGCTCATCATCGATCCGGAGTGCGACATTGCCGTTGCCACTATGGCACAGCTGTTGTTGCAACAAGGCAAGGTCACAGAGGCGCTCAAGTACTTTGAGCGTGCTGCAGAGCTTTCAAGGACAGAAGGCGAAATTGTTAACGCGCTAAGTTATGCCGAGGCGACAAGGACTCAACTCGAGGTAAGCTGCTCCCATTCGTGGCTTCGAAACAAATATTACGACGAATAATTGCTAACATGGTTCAATAGGTTCAAGAAAAGTATCCCAAGCTCGCCTCTAGACTTGGCGCCATGGGTGCCGCTGCTGGAGGATTTGGCATGCGATAAAAAGGATGACAATATCCCCCCAGTCTTCAGTCTTGTTGCACACGAATATTCTCACCTCTTTGTTCATACCGTGTATTTAGTATCGTCTGGTTGAGGCAAAGGGACCTCTGTTGGATGGGCAAAGTATGATATCCTGGACTGTTGGTAAAACATGTATGTATGTGTGTGTGTGTGTATGTGTGTATGTATGTGTGGTGTTGATACCTGTTTTATGTTTAAATGCTTTGTCGGTATGATTTTGCAAAGTATAAGTGAAAGAAGCGTTCGAGGAGAAGAAAGAAACTTGGGCACTATTAATACGACAATCTCCTACTCTGGATGACACGGTATGAAGTACACTATTTGTTTGAAGTTTGAGGTATTTCCAGGTTTCACTGAAAGTGGTAAGAATAAGTGCAGTGAAATGCATTTAGACCATCAAGAGGTCGGGTTCTCTGCTTTACAATGGGCAAAATCCCGGAATCTAGGTGGTGCATCTATCCCATCCTTGCCCACTTTCTATACATACATACTTTCTCCCCATCCCCTCGATTGTACACAAGCACACAATTACTCGCCGCTCAATTGCAAGATAAGAGTGCTTGCAACATCGAGAAAGGGAAACGGACTTGTGACAATCTTCTCGCCTTCCTGGCGCCCCGCACCCACAAGTTCCGTTCTTTCTCGAAGAATCTCTGTGCCCCCTTCATTCAGCTTCTTGGCCAAGTCTTCGGGAAGTGGCTCGTTTTCGTCCAGTCGGCGCCATACTCCCTGCTCGTCGTCCCAGCCGTCCTGGTGATGCGGTGGGGGCTGGTGCGAGCCTGAAAGCGGAATTGAGGCCTTGATCTCGCGCACAAGATTGGTGACGAGGCGTTCGTAGCCTGCACATTTGAAGTCGACGACAAAAAAGTCGCGGTCGATGCTGTAAAGTTGGATGGACATGTAAATGTATACTGCTTCATCGGGATTCACATGGTCCTCACTAACCGACCCTGCGCGCTCGGACGGGGTCATGCCTTCGACACCATGGCCAGCGCTCGATGTGCTGGTGTTAGTCGAACTCCGTCTTCGTGCACCAGAAGAATCGTTGGCGAGGTCGACGCGTGAAGAGTGCGTCGACGAGGGATGCGCAACACCAGGCGGGAACATGCCCTCCTTTAGGAAGCGTGCATGGATAACCCAGGGATCTTCGGGAACGTGGTAGCCCCAGTCATTTGTATGGTTGTAGTGCTTCTTTTGTCGACCTCTTGCTTCTTGTTCGCTCGTGCCATTGTTGCGTACACTGAGCGGCTCACGACGTGGCGAGCCCTTCCGCGAGCCCTGGTCTTCGTCTGATGAATGTGAAGAGATAGAGTCTTGTGAATGATTCCTGGATTTAGACTTGCGGTCTTCTGGGGCCTGAGAGGTGCTTCGGCTGCGAGACCCACTACGACCACCGGCTCTGCGTATCTTTGGTACTTCCCAGTCGGCGCCCATGGCTTTTAATGCCTTGAATATAGCAAGCATAGCCTCTGCAGGTTGGTTTCTGGATCGAATACCGAATTGCCACTTGGTCGCACGTGGCTTCTTGGTAGGTAGGCTGGTCATCGGCTCCGGCTTTGTTCTACCTGCTTCGGGCATTGTACGGAAATTTGGTTTTAGTCTTCGAGCCGATATTTGCCGTTGTTCTTCCGTCTGTTCAGGTGTTGGTGGGAGAGCCTCGCTTTCCGAAATCTTGTTAGTGGGCCTTGGGTGGCCCTTCATATAAGCCTTGTGGTATTCTGTAAGACTACTCGGGAGAATTGCTATGGTGCTGACCGGGCTGCGAATGCTTGCAAGCTGACTGCTGGCGTTGGATCCTTGGCGTGCTCTTTCATGGTCTGAAGGCGCCGGGGGAATGAATTGCGGACGTGATACAGCATTCAATGATTGTGGTCTAAACTTTTCCATATAACTGTCGTGCGCAGGCGGCGACTGGTGATTCCACACCGGAACACCATCCTGGTTGGTTAACAAAGCTAGAATAAACAGTCAGCTACAGGCAATACCATAAGAGTAGTCATGCTTACGGTTCTCCCGCATCATCTCATTCTCTCGGACAATGAGGTAAGCATCTTTAATGGCACTCGGCTCATCGCGTGCCAAGGCATCTTGCACATCATGCTTTGCATAACCCATTGTCTTTCCAAGCTTTGTCACCACGTTTTCATGCAGCGCCTGCACACGAGGCGCGTCGGCCAACGGCGCAAGAGCCTTGGGATCAATGGCCTTGTTGGGGTCAGCGCCACTGTCAAAGAACTCTTGCGCGGGCGGTTCGAGGTATGCTGGGAGGTCTGTCGTGAACCACGGGTCTTGTCGAAGCTCGGGGATGGTGATGCGGTGTACGGGATTGACCATGAGCATTTTTCTAATCAAAGAGGTGGCGCCTGGCGAGAGATAGCTGGGTGTGCTGTACTGGCCCGCGGCAATTTTCTTAAAGAGGGTCGGGATATATTCGTCGTCGAAGGGTAGCCGGCCGACTAACAAAACGTATAGTATGACACCACAGCTCCAGACGTCGACTTCGGGACCAGCGTACAACTTGCCGGAAATGACCTCGGGCGCAGCATAGTTGGGGCTGCCACAGCTTGTCTTGAGAAAGTTGCCGTCCGTCATGATGTTGCTCAGACCAAAGTCGGCAATTTTTACATTGCTATCGTGGTCGAGGAGGAGGTTCTCGGGCTTCAGATCTCGGTGGACAATCTTGTGTCGATGGCAGTATTCGACAGCGCATACAATTTGCTGGAAGAACTTTCGAGCCTGTGCCTCTTGCAGTTTACCGTGGTTGACGATGTAGTCGAACAATTCCCCGCCTGCGTATTCGAGGACCATGATGATTTCGGTCGGCGTTGTTATGACGGTATAGCTAGGGGAGCAAAAGTGAGCATGAAAATGAGGCAAGCGCGGCTACAGGCAAACAACGTACAGCTTGATGATATGCGGATGGCGCAGCAGCTGCAGATACTGAATCTCACGCTCGATCCTGCCTGCCATATCTCTGGTGACGAGCCTCTTGCGATTGATGATCTTGAGGGCGACCTTTTGGCCACTGACCTGGTGGGTGGCCAGCTTGACCTTGCCGAAGGAGCCCTCGCCCAGGGTGCGGACAATGGTGTACTGGCCGAGACGCTGGCTCGCCTTTGTATCCTTGCTCTTGGTTTCGTGCACCGCAGTTCCGAGCGCAGTAGGCGGCGGCGGGGCGGGGTCCTGGGCCTTTGTTGTGCTGGTTTGGGCGGCGCCCCGCCGCTGCGAGGGCATGGAGATGGAGAGCTCCTCCAGGTCCTCATTATCGATTGCGGCCGACATTGTATGGCGAGTGGTATGGTGGCGCCGGTCGTGCTTGGAGGCGCTGGCCAGAAGCTTTTGCGGGGATACGTAGGGCTGGAGGGCGGTTTGCGTCTGCGGGGACTATACAGGTAACATCCGGTTAGCAGGTGTGCCGACGCAGGGCGGAAGCATGCGAAGAGGAGCGCGTCGGTGGGGAGAGGCAACGAGAGGGAGAGAAAGAGGGAGAGGAAGAGAGCTTGTTGGCGGCCCGTGGGAGTGTGCAGAAGCACAGGTACAGGGCTCGAGTTGCAGTATTGTGTGCAGTGCCGTGCAGTAACAGAGCGGGCAGAGGCAAGCAACCAACTTACGTCAGGGCCGAGCGGATGTTCTGGTGATGTGCGCTCGCTGCTACCGACCCGACGCTGCGACAAACATCACCATGTAGGGTTGGTAAACGGTGAAGTGGTTCGTATCTAATTACTGATTATGCGGCTTTTTCCCCAAACGCACGCGTGCAGCACCCGGTCGCCGCCGTCGTCGACGAGGTTGTGGGGATGATGCGGAGTGCAGATTGCCGGGGGATGGTGGGCACCGGGCAGGATCAGGAGGAGGTGGGATCAGGATGCAGCAGAGAGGAGACGAGGTGGAGAAGAAAGGAAACACAAGGAGACAAGCAAAAGAGCAGCAAAGTATGGGGAAGTGGGCTGGGCTGGGGCGCAGAATGACGATGCTCAGAACAGACATGGTCGAAACGCCCATCACTCAACGCTTTACCGAGCCTGCCCGTCGGCCATTCATTCATTCACCTGCCGCGCCCGATGCGGTACATACACACATACATACATACAACACACACACAGGACGGCATTCTTCACTTTCGCATCCCAAACAGGCCGCATGGCATTGTGTGCTTGCCTCTAGCCTCTAGCGTACCATGCTGTCAGCTCCAGCATGTTGACTTGCATAACTGTTAGACATGGAATGCCGGCTCCACGGCCTCACTTGAAGCAGAACAGGCGCCCCAGGCCCCGCTGCTGCGCTTCACGTCGCGCCGCACCGTCCACATACGCCGCCTCTCCTTCACTTGTCGAGCTTGCGCTGCTCACCTGCTTGCCCTTGGCACTGCCAAACACCCTCAGCAACACCACCATGCTGCCTGCGCTGACAATGCTGCCACACAGGATGCCAATCATGACCAGGTTGCTCTTGCGATACTTGTGTGGCCCCGCCTGGGCATCTGCAGGCCATCCCGAATACAGCGCGTAAGTCGTCAAGATGCTGCCTAGGTTACCCAGTCCAGACACCAGGGCGCTGGCTGCAGCTACTCCCACCTCTCCATGCCGCGGCTGGAAGATCTCGTTGGACCAGGCCATGCAGATGGGCACTGTCGGCCCAAGCCCAAATCCAATGAGCAGAACCCCGCCGTATCGTGACCACCCTTTTGCAAAAGTTGCCACAAGTAGTCCGGCGATCTGGACGAGAACGGCAGCGCTGAAAAATGCAGGCCGGTGATGGTGGAAGCGATCCGAGATTGGGGTAACCAGTAATATGGCAATCAGGTCCATCTGTACACGAATCAGCTCACTTTTCTTGCCAAGCCTGCAATCTACTCACAATCCAAATGGGTGCCGAAAGCAGACTGAGCTGGATGCTCGTCAGGCTTGGGTTGATGCCCCGGATGATGACAGTCGCATATGCCTGCGTTCCGTTGCCGACACCTACCACACCAAAGTACATGACGACCAATGGGTAGATCCTCCAGTCGATGATGACGTTCCACAGGTCTTTCATGTTCCACAGCTTACGACTGTAGACACGTGTGAGATCCTCGTAGTGAACACGCGCGTCTTCGCCTTCCAGAGCCGGTTTGCTTTGGGGAAGCCACTTCATCCACCCTGTTCGCTGGCAGACTTGGCCAGGAGGCAGTGGCCTGTCTGGAAGCCACCAAAGTAGAGACACGCCGACGATGAACCCAACGATACCATAAAGGAGGAACATCCACTGAAACCCAACAAGTCCACCGAGACCATCCATCTTTTGGAATCCAGCCGATACCAAGCCTACAACAGCTGCAGACATCTGGGAAGCTGTAAAATAGCGTCCAATCCGCTTTCCAGTTCGAGATGGAGGGTAGAACAGAGTCAGGTAGTACGACATGCCTGGCCACATGCCTGCAATGACAATTCCAAGCAACAACCTAAGTAGACTGCACGTGGTCAGCGAGGAGAAAGTCTGGCAGTGCCGAGTGGATGCTTACTAAAGATTCCATGCAGCATTCATAGCAGTCAAGCACATGCCAATGATACCAACACAAGTGACGATGCGACTCATCCACGCGTGGGGACTGACCCTCGACATGATGAGATTCGACGGCAAATCGAAAATGACATAGCAGACGTAGAACAGCGCCAGACCCGTAGACACCTGTTTCGGCGTGATGTCGAGCACAGATCCGAGGTCATGGCCCTCTGCCAGGTTCATGGTCTGCGCAAGTCCAATGTTTGAGCGAATCGCCGAGCACATGAAGTAGAGAACCCAGAACGCGGGGAGTATCCTGCGATCAAGCTTGCTAAATTGCATGTAAGCATTGCGTTACATGCAAAAAATGTAAAAAAAAAAAAAAAAAGTTACTTACGCATATACCCTCTCAATCGCATCAAGATCAATCGCCTCGGCACCAACTTCAACATCGCGATGTAGCTCTACCTGCTTAGCTACCTGTACATCTGCAGCATGTTCCCCCCGTGTTACCTCATCCACAGCATCCTCAGCAGCCATTGTCGCTTCAAAGCACGAGCAAGCAGTCGTGAAAGAAAGAAAGAGTCGAAGGCTCGCAAAAGAAAGCAATCGAATACCCAATGCACCTAGTACTCAAACTTACTTAAGCCGACACGGCATCGGCTTAAAGGTCTACTTAACGAGCGCATTCTGCGATTCGTCGAGGGCAGAACAATTTGCACGGCTGGTGGGGGTGGCGCTAGCGCGTGGTTTGGAGTGGGGAGGGGATCGACTCACGGGCGCTGGGCCCGCGGTACAAAGACAAAGGTCGAGGCGTCTGGGCCGTTGTTCCCCCGAGTTCGGCCATCTGGACTTGGCGACGGGTGATGACTGCATTTTCAACGTTGAAATTTAGAGCTGTCAAAATTAAATGTCAACTTCAGATTACAAGGACCAAATTCTTGATTCGATTGGTTAAGAATAAGGCAAATGAATATCTCTAACTTTATTTACTGTTAGCTTGTTGAATTGTATTTTACTCCAAGGTAGGTCGAATTGGCTGTCTTATATTATTAAGGGAATGAAGTGAGGCTTGTTGACAGCTTCTCAGAACATGAAGGCTCTGTCTGCAGTCAGATAACAATGGCTCCATTCGCATGATAAATGCTATAATGCAAGGTATGAATATCTTTTCTTCGCAGGGGTCTATTTCATCTCCACTCATCACAGTTCCCATCGTCTCCAAGCTCGCCTTGAAGCTCTCGTACCATGCGTTCCTCGCTCCCTATTGCCGGCCGTGGCAAGTTATCTACATTCAGGATCAGATCCTCTGGCTCAAAAGGTGTTCGTGCAATGTGCGTGCCGGGTGTGCTGGTAAATAGCACCTTGATGGAAGCCATCACACTGGTATCAACAACAAGTCTAAGCAAGCTGGCAAACACCTTCAATGCCTCATCTTCAAATTGCTCCCTTTCGAATAAAACTGCGCCATCAACAATGATGAACAGCGTTATCTGGGGTGGTAACTGTCGTACCAGCCAGCTGAGTAGCTCAATATGCACCTCAAGCCCACCCTCTTGAAGGCTCGCAAGGTCAATGTCATTGCACAAAGGTCTAGTGTCGAATTGAAATTGCCTTAACAATTGGTCGATCAGACTCAAAAATCATAGCATGCCCACCAGTACGAGCTCCAGGCTCGCTCTCGTCAATATGGCATCCACAGAACCACAGTGCGGACATGAATCGGTCTTTGCTTCGTAGAGACTGCGCTAGAGTGATGCAGAAAACAGATAGTGGCGAGATGTCAGCAATCGTTCTCGGAAGGTGCGAGTCTCAGTGGACCAAAAGCTTCGACGACGAGGCAGATACAATCCAGTTCTCGAAGAGCGGTGTGTGGATGATTTGCTCAGCTCGTGCTCTATGTTTTGCGGAAAGCTGCTCTTTTTTATCAGTGACGAAGGCGATGTCGAAGAAGTCGAGGTCAAAGGTGTCAATCATGTTTCGCAGTGTGTCTTGGTTGATGTACCAACCCAGGGCTGGTGCTTGGGCTGACTGCGGCGGAGGAGCCCACATGCTTTGCTGCATTGGCGATGTAGAGCGCAGTATCACGTTCTCGGCTAAGAGACGATTGTTTTCCTGTCGGGCAATTTCCAGCTCGCGGTCTCTCTGCTGCAGATGGTCTCCCAGTAGCTGCTCTATCGTGTTGATTCCAGTGACCAAGATGTCGGCCTTGTAGTCAAGTTGCTTAAGAATCCTTTTCTTCTCTTGAGAATACATGTGGAACTGGTACATATGAGATTTATCTGCTTGCTCCATAAGATTCCTGGCCTTCATCTCGATCATGTTGAGACTGTTGAGTAAGCTCCCTCCGTAGTCTCCACCACTGAGGAAGGCTTTGCCGCCTCGTAGGAACTCATTGCTGATGAAGAAACCTATGGCTCGTTCTACAGCCTCCATTGTCGCGGCAATCAATTTAATAGATGCGTTTTGAATGTTCACATCACCTTGGAACGTGCTGAGGAAGAGCTCTGCGTCGGAAAAGAGTGGAACAACCCCGTCGAAGCCTTTAAGAACCTGGTTTCGCACCTTTGCAGCAGTCTTGACAGCGTCAAGTATGACCTCTACGGCGCCTACGACTGGAGTCGCGATTGTATCCTGAGGAACAAATTTTGAAGCGATCTTTGCCGCTTCAGCTCCAGGAGTGATGTTATCGGCGGCCTTTCTTCGCACCTTTCGAATCCAGCCCACTGGCCCTCCGCTCATCTGGTATTTTGCCCGCGCCGATTCAAGTGTATAGTAGATAGCATCCCAATTGGTTTTGTCTCTGATGTGATAGTCGGTTCCCGATCGGCCCTTGGGCTCTTTCGTGGACTTGAATCTTATCATGGCATCTGGAAAGACCTCATTCCAGCATTTCATAGCATTCGTATCTGTCCATTCTGGCCTTTGTAGTAAACCGTTGCTGCTTGGCTGCGCGTTCCATACTGGCGGTATCGCGAGGCTGTTGCTCGTGTTCCCCACCAAAGCCTGGGAAGCTGGCACATAACTCCTCGACATCGGATCGTACTTGACCGATTGAGTAGAAAATGCCGGATGGTATTTGGGGAGTCGTCTATCAATGAAATCAATGGTTGGCGCTCGTTTCGTAAGTGCTTGTATAAGACGCGTCCAGTTTGTTCAGGGCCAACTACGTAACTTTATAATAACCCAACACTTCGCATGCAACATCCCGCTCGTAGAATACATAAAGTCTCTCCTTTTTAGCTGTTAAGGTGAGACCAACTATGATTATACCTTGACCTGTTTCACAGGACTTGACCTCCTGCATATGCACCATGCAGCCCGGCACATCAGCGGGAGTACCCATGGAGTCATTTCTGCTATACAGAAGGATGTGATGCTGATACAATGGTTGTCGGTGTAACATGCAAGCGACTCGAGCTGTCATAGTTAGCCTCCTGCTGTCCTTTCTTCGCTGGCGCAAGGTTGACTGATTAGGCGCCCTGAGTATAGAATTGTTTGAGCCGCCGTCTTGTGTCAGGTTCTAGACGAGATTACTTGTATGACTTGAGAAGGAACCTCCATGTTACGATCAGGTTGCATTGCCAAATACCACCATGCAATACAAGAGTAGCTTGAGCATGGTGCTTTTGCTAGCAAACCACAAAATGACACAATTGCAGAATGTTCGATCAATTATATGACGTAGGTTATTCAAGACTTCTAAGTATCCTAGTAAACGGAAAACTTCCCGAATGAAACTGTGGCTGGTTATTGAAGATGACGAAATATGGGTCGCCTAGCTATTCGTATTTCGCATCGCAGGCCACACCACGCGTGTATGCCAAGCCCATCTCTGCCCCAGCTCTAGCACATAATTGTAGAGTCTAGACGCCTTGATATATGCTCCTATTCTTGCCAAAGCTATCAGCGTATGAGCCAACATCGAGTCCTTACCGCAAACGCGCCAGCATTTGATAAGCATATCTACCGAGCTATTCAAATATTTCATGGGTCGACCGAGTCACAATGCGAATACTTTGGATTTCACTAGCGATTACTATTCAGCTTTATTGCCTATCTGATTAAGTAACGCTTCTCCACCTTTATATGCCTGATCACACATGGCTCCACGATACAGTGAAAAAGATCCCTACGAAGTGGCATGACTCTCATCTGACGTACTATACACGACGAGGAAACTCACTGTATTGGGAAAGCCCACTTTGGCAGATTAATAACCACTGGCTGGGACTAGGATTCCTACTACTGAGCTAGCCTTTCCTTGTGATACATTGAAAATTTGCTGAAGATCGAAGTATCCACCAAATATCTCTTAAAGCTCACATATGAATGTGTCTCTGGCATAAACACGACCATGCCCAACAATCACATTCGTTCACCACACATAATGTATGAAGATTGGCTTTATAACTAACACAACAGAACTGCAACTGTTTACATCAGTGTGAAGTATTGTGCAATTACCATTCTGATTAGTTTTGCTAATTTTCTTAGGGCTGATTTCAGCCGCTTGGCGGTTCATCCCGCAATATATGCAGCATGCTGACATTGCATACGTAAAGACCGGAAATAGAAACGTACAAATTGCTAGCATCGTATTGGAACGTAGTACCAAGTCTCTAATTGGCTGTTGAATATTGATAGAGCAACACATGTATTCAGCTTGACTCGTGATGTTAAGGAACAATTATCTCCATGTGGGGAAGGTAGTAGGGTTTTTTCGAGGGACATATAAACAGGTGCTGTCGTCGAATATGATATTTCTTGATATCGAAGCAAGCAAGTATGTCTTCCATGGTGATGCAGGTTTGCTGGGTCATTGCTGCATATCTGCAAGTTCGAGGACTAGCGCGTAAGATAATCAGTGTCCGATGTCGAGGTTGCACCAATGACTTATCCTACATAGAGTCCATTCCAAGTCCTACATCGAGCTCAAATGTACCCTCGACTACTGTCGCAGCTCCTGCTCCCACGCATCCACCGATACCACCTGCAAACACTCCCGCTCTGCCATCCGACTTCTCCGATATTCCAGCAAGTGTAATAAGTTGCTGGGATGCCCACGCCAGCTATTCCTCAGCCTCCTGGTTCCTCTATACCGAACTTTTGAGCAGCCAGAATTACACCTGGAATCCTTGGTCAACCACGTCGTATTCGTACTCTGCATATCTCAATGAGAGATTCGACTGCAAAACCACGCCTTTGCCGTCTCTAACAACATTGTGCGATGGATTTCCTCGTGCGTCTACAAGCTCGACAAAATGTCAGACTGTTACCGAGACATATACCTTCACGATCACTGGCGAGGCTACGTACTATACGCCACCATGGTCTACGGAACTCGATCAACTGCCATCTCCAACCTGTACCGTCGCTAGTGACTACGGCGCATTATGTACTCGGCTGAAGGACGCATATAACTGGCGTACCTCATTCCTGTCGCAGAACCCCTCCGCGACAGGATCAATTGCAGGACCTGGATGCACAGTTCTCAATGATGGAACCGTACCGTCACAACCTCCATGCTTTCTTGAAGGAGGAACGTGGGACGCGTTCTACTGGCCTAGTACTGCAATTCCCTCTGGATCTGCATTTTGCGACACCAACGGCACGAATGCGACTACTACCTCTGGTCCAGCCCGGACTGCCGTAGTTTCTGGCATAACGATGACGAGTCCAAGCGTGTACTATCTGCTCCGCAACGCAATCCTCCAGACACTCACAGGCCGGGCCTCGCTGATCGGGAAAACAAACACCGCCACTAAAACAGACGTATTCGCGCCATCAACAACGGCCTCGCTTCTAACGGTTGCACAGCGCGAGTCCGACATCGTAACCATATCACGTGTATGTGCGGGCTCCGGTCAACGCCGATACTGCACCTTCCACGGTTCCCCCGGTTTCTCCGTCGCAGACCTCGCTACCGTGCGCGCATCCGAGTACTGTGGATTCTGGGGCTGCGGCGCCAGCGAGACCATTTACCAGGCCGAATACACGCCTACGCTCGGCATTCCTGTTAGTGAAGTCGCGGCGCAGAATGGGGTTTTCGGGGATTGTGCTTGGACGACGCCGGGGATGAGGGTGCGAACGGCGGGGACGGCGGCGTATAATGGGGGCACGATGAAGATGGAGAACTGGCATCCTATTACAGCAACATAAAAGTGTGGAGACGGGTGTATGGCTCGTTTGACTACTATATCTTGAACATGAGATCAAAGTGCAGGAAGGGCGCTAGTATACGATCTACCGCTAGTACTAGTCCCCAAGCGATCGGACTTCCGAGATGCACTTCGTCATGGTTACTCATCCCGTCTTTTCGTGATTCTCAATCCGAGCTTTTGCTGTTGTTGCCGTGCGAAGCTTCACCTCCAAACTCCAGCTTGTTTGCATAGCCACAATGTGCCCAGTACTATACCAAATGCTCGCCAACACATTTGTGCGCTCATCGCGCCGTGTGGTTCCTGCATCGCGAACAACACTTCGTCTTCGAGGCGCCCGGCCCGCTTCGACATTGGCCGAGAACCCACACATTGTACTGCTTTTCCCTCACATCTCTTCTTTTTCTTAGATGACGAAGATATTAACACAGGATACAGTACGTACACAAAGATCCATTTGATCCAAGCAAACAATTGCTATCCCTTCTCCCCACAGAACCCCCAACACCCCAACTCGCAATCGGCACTTGCACTGCTCTGCCACCCACACCCCGCAATTTCACCGAGAACCCCCAGTTTCTGCCTATACTGTATTCGGTATTCGCAGCGCATGCGGCGCAGGATCCCTACGTACAGTCGCAAGCAGCTGTCTACGCGTCGCCCGGTGGCTCCAATCTTTCACAGCCCAATGACGGTGCAGGCGGCGCAAATCACCAGGGTGGCATGGGCGGAGGGGGACACGGAGGGTGGATACATATTAGCGATCTGAGGAACCCGCCAGATTACGGGCGCATTGCTTGGCCTGAGGACATATTTGGGAGTGTAGAGGTGGATGCGCATGGAAGGTTGAATGGAGGTGATGGAGCGTGGCAGAACAGCGGGACATATCGTATTGTGACGAGAGAGGGAATGTGAGTACAAAATGGGCTCGAAACCACGTCGGGTGACTGAATACTGACAATAGTGTAGATTGGGATTGACCGAGTTCATGCGAGGAAAGATGGTGGAGAAGCTGCTGGATCTCGAGAGACAGATTAAGCAAAACTCATAACGACGGCGCGACAAGAGGATATACCCAGGAGGAAACGAGGAACGGAACAAAACGATATGATTCGTGTAATGTAAAATGCACTCTAGCCCATGGCCAGTCTATGGGTATCAAAACGAGACTCCGCTCATCGACGAGTCTTCCAACCATCACCGTTGGTGCCATGCCCAACGCCCACAATCTCAGCTCAACTCTCCCGCCTCCAGCTTTTCCAAGAACGCCTTGCTAAATCTCTGGGCCTGCTCGTAGGCAATGGTGAATCCATCGTCGCCGCCATAGTATGGATCAGCAATCTCCTCGCCCATCTCCCTGCCCCTGTACTTCCTCCTCTTGCCACCAAACTCGCCAAACAACATGACCTGCCCGATGCCGTCCTCGCCACCCCTCTTCTTGACCTCCCTCTGGCGCAAGCTCTCCAGGTCCGCCAGGTTGTCATGGTCCATGGCGAAGATGTAGTCGAACTTGTCAAAGTCGGTGAGGGGCGAAAACTTGCGGGCCGAGTGGCGGTACGAAGTGATGTTGTTCTTGCGGAGGGTAGCCATTGTGCGCGAGTCTGGATCGGAGCCGATGTGGTATGCGCCGGTGCCGCATGAGTCGATGTGGGATATCAGTGGGTGTGGGGGGTTTCCGGCGGGTCGTGTAAGGGACTGGAAGACGCCTTCTGCCATTGTTGAGCGACCTACGTGTGGTGGACTTAGTGGTGTGCAGGAAGAGAGGGGATAGTGGTGTACGTACAGATGTTTCCAAGGCAGACGAAGAGGACGGAGACGGGCTGCGGGGAGGTTGATTCGCCCATTGTTTCGGTGTGTGTGTGTGTGAGGGGTTGT